GGCATTTATCTTTAAAATCCATCGAATGCGATATGGGTAACGTTCAAAGATTAAATTTTTTATTTTTTGTCAATTTTATTTGAAGCATAATTTCTCTATGCACAGACATTTAATTTTAACACAAAATATATTATATGATAGCCCTAGTTTAGGGGAATCTAATAAAAAAAAGTTTGTGCAATTTAGATCACCCGTTGTGTCACAATTAACAGTACAAATAGCGTTTCGTACCATACAGTTTATCGTCATGCCTCTCAAAACGATCTGTTGATACTGTGTCACGTTATTATGTCGTCTTTATTCGTGTCACCTTGCAATACTGTGTCAATATGAATATCAAATATATTAGCTTTCCTTATCGAGTTCTACTGCCACTGTATTAACTTTATTTAACTTTATTTCTATTAAAACATATATTCTGAAGACAATCAAAAAGTAAATAATGGTATGTTATTTCAAAATTATTTCGATTTGTTATTTTGGATTTATTTTCGGTCCAATTTTTCAATTTTTCATTCTTTTGTTAGGACAGGTGGACAGCCATGCTCTCACTGATCGAGATGAGTCAAGTGAATCAAGTCAAAAAACTGTTAGTTCACTTAAATCTAGGTTTGAACATTTAAATCAACAAACACCGCAAGCATCCAGTGTAAATGGATCTAATCGACTACAATCATCTCGTGAACTGTCTTTTCCTAATGTAGTGATTATGGCACAACAACAAAAAAAACAGTCAAAAGTGCTATTTGAAAATAAATCAGCAGCTGGAAGCAATAATTCTATTAATGGTGCCTATGATTTACGATCAAAAGAAGAATCGAAAATAGAAGATCAAAAACATTTATTTAAATCTCGGGTTAACAATATAATAGCAAATCTTCCTCCTAAACCGCCTGCCTCGAAATCTAACCTACAACCACCTCCTTCAAAGCCGAAACCGATTGGGGGCTTTCCTATTTTGCAATCACAACAAGGATCTGTCACAAACCATCTTAGTCGGTCGATATCTCCTTCACATTCAAATCATTCAAATCTTTCAAATCTTTCGACCAGTCCTAATGATTTAAGAATTGCAGAAGATCATCATGATCCATTCGACGATTCTCAAGGAATTGATCCTTTCGCTGATGATAATGAATCTGAAGATATTTATGATGATTTCTCAACTAATGTTCAAATATCTAGAACAAATCGACTTAGTAATACTGGTAACACTGGTAATGCTGGTGGAAATACATTTGAAGCTAATAAATTTAAATCTCATAATAATAATAATAATAATAATAATAATAATAATAAGAATAAGAGAAATACTTTAACTGTTCATCAATATGATGATTTGGAAGATAAACCATCAATTCAAAAAAACAAAACCAATAAACCACCATTACCTAATCGTCCTCAAATGCCACCACCACCACTTCCAGATCGTCCCCCATCATTACGTGAGAATAAGGTTATAAAACGTCGTACGTCTGCTATTTTAAATTCATCTTCAAAAGTTACTCATCATCCATCAGGAACTGAGAATAATCAGATGGATCCTGTCTTCAATTCTACTACTGATGCTCCCGATTTATCAAGAGCTAATCGTAGGCCCCCTAAAATTAAAGGTATCCGGGAAATTAATAATAAAGGAACCACTCGAGCATTCGCGATAGCAGGTGAATATGTTATTACTGATTCAGGTCATACTCGGGTGTGGTTACTTGAAGAAGGTGGAATTTCTAATACAATTTCTCACGAGGATAGCAAAATTACGAGTCTTTGTTGGCGTCCAACTCGCAAATTAGAGGAAGTAGGTCGATATATTTGGGCTGGCGGACAAGATGGCAATTTATTTGCAATCAAAATCGAAGGTGAAGATAAGCATTTGGAGGTGACACATAAAGCACATAGTCATCCGGTGAATTTTATCTTACGTCATGGATTTCAATTATGGACTCTTGACGATACTGGGAAATTACAAATATGGTCAGAGGATGATGGTGGTATTGTTTCTCTTAAATCAAAACCAAAATCAATTCGAATTTCTTCCAAACAAACCTGTGTGCTTATAGTTGGTCATCATCTTTGGACAGCTTCGGGAAAGAGTATAGAAGTATTTAATCCACTCGATGAGAATGAATTAATTGTAAAGAAAATTGATATCGGAAATGATATAGGGAATGTAAAATGTATGACACAGATGGACAATTCTTCTTTTGTTTATATTGGACACGAAGATGGTAAAATTACAACGTGGGATGTTAGAACATTTAATCAAAAATCAATGAAATGCGTGTCAGTTTATAGTATAACATCATTGTTAGGTGTTGGTGATTACTTATGGGCTGGTTTCAAAACAGGCATGATATATATATATGATGTTAGAAGGGATCCTTGGGTAGTTATCAAAGATTGGCAGGCACATAAAGGACCAGTGATTGATATGAAATCTGACGAAGAAGGATTATGGAGGGTAGACCGTTTGCAAGTTGCAAGTTGTAGTTCTGAAGGACAAATCATTGTCTGGGATGGATTGATGGAACAAGATTGGATAGGTAAAGTATCTAAATCTAAATAATATGAATTATTTATAATTTTAATAATATTTATCATATTTGGTTTATTTATTCTTTATTTTTATAAGCTGACGAAATGAGTAATCGTGAAAAAGAATACTGCAAATATGAAGAAGCAAAGGTTTTAATATGTTCATGGAATATTGATGCATCGAGACCTCCAGATTTAGAGCAATCCGCTGAGGGCGTTAAATTTTTAAAATCTTGGTTTACAAGTGTCGAGTCACCTGATATTATCGTTATAGGATTTCAAGAGATTGTTGATTTGGAATCAAAAAAAGAGGCAGCCAGTAAGCAATAAATTTTATATTTTTTATTATTTCATTTTTCATGTTATTATTATTATTATTATTATTATGTTTTTACTTATTGTTGATATCGAAAATATAACAGAAACCATGTTATTGACAAAAAGGAAAAAGGAAAAGAAAAATATTGATAATGTCAATCTACGTTATAAAGCATGGCTTGATAGACTTGTCAAAGCAGTGCATAATGCAGCAGACGGAGAAAAATATGAAGTTATTAGTTCGGAAAATCTGATCGGATTGTTTACTTGCATTTTTGTGAAAGAATCAGAACGTAAACTTATAAGGGATATTGATGTTACAAAGAGGAAAACTGGATTAAAAGGTTATCATGGAAATAAGGTAGAATAATTTTATCAATTTTATCTTTATTTATTAATAGAATTATAAAAGTCGTTTTAAAAATTTAATTTAATTATTAAAATATTATAAAAATTGACTAAAGGGTTCAATAGCAACTCGGTTCATATACGATGATTCATCAATATGTTTTGTAAATTGTCACCTGGCGGCGGGACAAACAAAAACAGTGGATCGAAATAATGATGCAGCAAACATATTAGATAATACTCAGTTTCCAGTTTGTGCCAATGAATCATGGAATGAAAATGAATCCGTATTCACTCACGGAGGTGATGGTACAATGATATTTGATCATGAATTTTGTTTCTTCAGCGGTGATCTCAATTATAGAATCGACTTACAACGAGATAAAGTCTTGGAAGCAATTGAAAAAAAAGAATATGCATTATTATTGGAACATGATCAATTATTTAAACAACGTAATACTAACCCATCCTTTCGATTACGACCATTTTCCGAGGGAATACCTAATTTTGCACCCACCTATAAATATAATCGTGGAGAAGATGAATACGATACATCAGAAAAGAGACGTACTCCCGCTTGGTGTGATAGAATATTATATCGTGGGCCAAGTGTAAAAAGTGTAAAACAAGAACATTATAGAAGATATGATGTCAAAGTATCTGACCATAGGCCAATCAGCGGAGCATTTAAAATTGTAAAAAAGCAAATATTAAAAGAAAAACAAATAGATGTTAAAGAGAATGCAATAAAGGCTTGGAAAGAAAACTTTAAAGAGGAAAAATTTAAGTCAATGATGAAATGGTTAGAAAGTTGTGGATACGAACAATCAATAAGCAAAAGAGTGCTGAAAGAAAATCACGAAAATTTGAGGAAAACCGTTGAAATATTAAACAAGAGGAAAAAGAAATGATTAGAGTATTCTCTTATTGGATTTAATATTTATAATTTTTTTTTTTTATTAAATTCATCTTTCATATATCATATTCATTTCATACACAAATATTTAATATAAATATTATTTATCCTGAATATTAGAAATATTCACTTCGCTATAGTGAAAATTGGGATTAATTAATTAATTATTTTAATTATTTATTTTATTTATACAACTTTGTACTTTAAATTGTTCTTAAAATATACATTCTTTTAATATCATAGAATAATATTAATAATAAATTTAATTATATCTAAAATTTTGTTATTTTTTTTGTACTAAATATGAATTTAATCCTTGTTTATTCCTTGCTATTTCGATAGCAAAAAACTTTAATTTAAAAAATAATTAATAATTAAAATTAATAAATTAATAATTAATTTAATTGATTAATAAAAAAAAAAATTAACTAATAAAATTAAATTAATTAAGTTACCTGCATTCGTGTAACTAATGTGTAAAATAAAGATCGTCAATATTCAAAGAATTTTCCAATAACAATTTTTATTGATTCACACTTACCTAAAATGGTATTTTCTTCCGTGTAATCACTACTCGCGTTCTTCCTTAATAATGTTCCGAAATTATAATCGTTCACCTTTTTTTCATATTTCATTATCCATTCACGCCAAGAAATTTTTCCTTCATCCGATTTCATTACATCTTCATTTATCACATCTATCGCGAAATCAGGAAAAGTTTTTTTAAAATCCTCGTATATTTCGTCATCTATTCTATTTTATCATATATAATATATATTTATATTTATTTATATATTAATTTATATATTAATTTTCTGTATTAAAAAAATATATATTATTAATAAAATCAGTACGGTGTCAATTTAAGAGTTTTGCCATCAATAGAAGTTATCAATTTGAAATATATGTCTGCATGATGCGTAGCCTTAACGGCCCATTGTTTCTCTAAAATTTTGTAAAAAGGATTATAAATTTTTAATATTAATTCATTAATTTATTAATTTCACCTTAAAATGTTTATATAAAGAACAAACCGATTTCGGGAAGTTGCTCAAGTTCGTCAGCGCTAGGTAGTGCCATTGCTTCTTTAGAAATAGGGTGATTTTTCAGAAAGTTCACAATTTTGTTTCCAAATTGCAACCACTATTGAACCAATCAGGTTTCAAGAATCAACAAATCCGAAATGATTATTTGTATCAGTAGGATCGGGGGTAGTTTCTTTTTATAGCAAAATTGCGTTTTTTTACCCTTGATATATTTATTAGGAAAAAACCTATTAACCTTAATTATAATTTGAAATTTGAACTGTTAAATTTTATTGTTTGAAAAGGTAATTGTATGGGATAGCGTGAATCGATTTATAGTTAGTCTTTTTTTCTTATCACAAATTTTTTTATATTAAATATAAATATATATATATATAAAGATCTATCAGCGAATTACTTTTCTTTCTTAAGTAAAAAAATGTGTATTCTATTGTATAACATTATTTTTTACATTTTTCCTAAATAAATTGATATTCCTTGTATTCCTTGAATATTATTAATTATGGGTTTTTGTTGATTAATTGATTTTCAAATCATTGAAATATTTTCTTGTTTATATTAGTAATAGTTTTTAGAGATCAAAGAAATAATTAAATTGATGTACTTATTAATATATTTATTAAAGTTAAAAATCAATTTGTAAAGGTAACAAGAATTTATATAGAATATAAGAAAAAATTTTAATTTTAACCTGAAATAAAAATTAATTAAACTTGTTACCCTTATAAAGTTCATTACATCAAATGGTACCAAATGGTCTACTCACCTATGAACCTATGATTATTTGCAAATATTCTTAACCATATTTGTCAAAAAATTAAGTTATCTACAAATCAGATATAACTTCAAACCTTTTAATAACATTTGCACAAGTTAAATATCAAATAGGCAGATAATTTATAAATTGACAAAAAAAATAAGGATAATTTGTAAACAAACAGATATATTATTAATTTTCATTAAGTTATTGTAAAGTCTATGCAAAATTTATTTAATTTAGAGATTTAGTCATGTGTGAATAGGAATGAGACTGATTTTTTTTTTGCTTTTTTTTTTTTCTTCTTTTGCTTGTTATTTTTTTATCATCTTTTATTCCTTTTGCTTTTATTTTTTGCTGAATACATTACATTATCTTTTGTTATAAGTTCTCTTGCTATTTAACACTTTGATCAAAGTTTTGTGTCAATCTTGAAGGTAAATTTAATGAGTTCAAATCTATAGTGACAGAACCTGTCTTTGTGAATAATAACAGCTTCTGAGACATTTTCCTTCATAAACTTATTCCAATAAGGCCTGAAAGTCCTGGTGTTTGTAGTTGATGCATGAATCAATGTTGTTGATAAATTTCATGATTTTGCTCTTGAAAATAGTTATATTGTTGTTCTGGGCTGCTTTCAGTCATCTGATATTGTGAAGTTGATAAAATCAAAATTTTCCTGAGGCTTGATGAAATTCATGCATTTAAACTTGTTACAGATTTTTTATCTATTTATAGGATAGCGCGAAAAAACAAAAGTTACGGGCACGGTGTAACATCAACCTTACTCCGACTCTCTATAAAGACGTCATTTCTTACCCTCCACTTAAGATCAAGTCGCTTATAATCTTTTTGGTTTACTCAAGTAATGACTGAAACTGAATCACCCACAAATCCTGTAAAAAATGGACCAGATTTTTCTGCAACAGACTTTGGAAAATTATATTCTAGGTCCCAATATATTGAAAAAGTGAATGAATCTTCAATTCCACAGCATGACATAAATTCTTCAAATACTAATATTCCTTCACAAACCCAACCTTCCGAGTGGCATGATAACGATTCAAAAGAAAAAATAGAGCAAAATTTTCAATTTAAAACTTCAGATGAAATATCGGTTGAACAACCAAAACTAATTGAAGTTAATGATATCGAAATTGAAGATAATTTTGACGATTGTCATTGTCAAAAAATCAGTGTAATGCCAGGTACCGCGGCTTGTAATAATTGCGATAGAGTTATACCTATACTAGTCGACTTAAATAGGAAAAGACTGCAATTACTTGATGATTTAGAAGAAGCAAATATTAGGAAAAAGGAAGGATTTGAAAAAGTTGAACGACAAAATGATGAGATTGAAAATTTAGGAAAACGAATTATGGAATTGGAAGATCAACTTGACTCCAAAGTTGATGAATTTAGTTCTTTACAGGATGATATGAATACTCTTAATGAAAAATATGTAAAGGTTATTGATAGAGTAGCGGAATTACAACATTCCAAAGATATGGTAGAGAGTGAACTTGAAGAATTAAGTCGCTCTCTTTTTGAGCAAGCAAACGGTATGGTAGCTTCAGAAGCAAAACAGAGACATGAATTGGAAATTCAACAAAAGATTTTAGAAAAACAACTTTTAGAGACACAAGAACGGTTATCAGCTGAAAGTATGCAACTTAAAGAGTTAAGAGAAAAGATGGAAGGACAAGAACAACCACAAGCAGAAAGTAAACGTTCAAGTTCTAGTGATCCATCATTTAGAGCTAGCATTGATTTTGCAGAATTATTTGGACTTCGTGAGAAATCACCAGAAGCAGCAGCAAGCTTACCGGGACCAACTGGAGAAGATGGAATGGGGATAGATACAGAATTATTAGCGGAATTTAAAGAATTTGTTGAATCGAGCATGGGTGTACGATTACAAAGAATACATACTATTCCATTCATGAAGCATTGTTTGGAGGAAGATGTCGATCCTTGTATGAGATTTGGTAATAATCCACGAGTTTCACCACGTAAAATAATTGAAGCTATTGTTGCTAATACATGTTTTATTGAGGAAGCACCGCCAGGAGCAGAAAAAGAGTTGGCACTTAATCCCAATTCACCTGTTCGCAATACAGCAGCTAGACCAGCATTATGGGATCGTATTGCAGGAAATCCAACTTATCCAAGAACAGGATGTCAATGTTGTGGTCGACCAGGACCTTTACCATTTCAATATCGTATAACTAATTTAGATGATTGGTCACTTATTGATCGTTATTGTCGTGATCGATTAGTGGCAGTGTGTGAATTTTATGTATTTATTCGTAATGTTCGTTCAGGTTTATATAATAATCGCCTTATAAGTGATCTATATTCAGAATGTTTAAGATTACGCCTACAAATGTTTTATGCAAGATTAGGAGCATTGCCATCAATGCTTAATACACTTGGAATTAAAGGTACAGAATTAGCATCAGCTAAAAAACCTACATATATGCTAGAAAACCCAACTATGATTAACCAAGAAGAGCCATTTTCGGTAAACATGTCTAATGAACCAGAAGAAATAGTAGCAGTTTCACCACCATTAAGAGAATTGAATCTTCATAATTCAAACATAAATCAGCAGGATACACTACCAAAAGTTGTGGTGATTGAACCCTCCAGACCTAATTCATCAACAAACATTGAAATTGAAAATACGGGATAATATATTTAATAAATTAATAATTGTACAAGGAAAGAAGATAATTATTATGATTATGCTAAATTTTAATGCTCTAGAAGAGATATATTGATATATTTATAATGTTTATCTTGTTTTAATCTTTTATTTTATTAGAATATATATTTAAACTTAGAATATATATTTAAAGTAATAATATTTGAATAATATTGAATAATCTTAATAATATTGAATAATATTAAATATTTGAATAATATTGAATAATATTGGATAATAATAATATTTGAATAATATTGAAATCAAAGATTAAGAAATAATTTTTCAGAAAAGATTAGAAATATTGATCATTTATTTTCTGTATTGATATATATTATTGATATTTATTCGATCCAAAGAAAGAAAAAGAAATTTAATTTAAAGATGTGATTATTTATTATATGTAATTAAAAAATATTTTAAAATTGTATTTAAAATGTATTTAAAATGTATTTAACGGGTGGTAATTACAAAATATTTGGATGAACAATTGGATAATAATAATATATTTTTTCATTACCATAATAATAATAATAATAATAATAATATTTTCATATTTTTTTTTTTTTTATAGCATTTACTTAATTAGTTATTAGTTATTGATAATCACTTTTACACACGAAATAAGAACACACAAGAAATAAAGTATTATATTCTCGTTTTGAGAATAATCCTAAGTTAATTAAACTATATTATAATTATATAATTAAAATTAAACTTTTAGACTATTTTATTATATAGACTAAATTTAGATTTTAACTTTACTAAACACAATTTTTGATATGCAATTTACTTTTTACTTTACTTATATTAATATTGTTGTAACCAAATCAATGACAATTTATTAAAATTTATCATTTGTTAAAAACTTGGAAATGATGATGAAAATGACGAGTGTCACTCTCAATAAATGTACAATAATTTAAATTTAATGAATCTATTTAAACGTTTTAATTTCTATCTATAAATATAATTAATGGAATTTTTAAGAATCAAAAGTACAAGAAATTTACCCTAATGATCAAACAATTTTTTTAATTAAATATTTTATCAAGCTCATTTAATATTTTATTTGACATTTTTTTTTAATAAAAGAAACGTGCCCGATATCGTGAATAACTCAAATTGGAGAATTCAATTCTAAAATTCCGAGAATTCACACTTTGTATTATCGTAAGTTTACTAATAATATTAGATTCTTCCTTGCAATAAAACTATGTAATATGAAATTATTGATTGTATATAAAAAAGACAAAATAATCATAAGTATTTTATTTATCGTTTGAGTTTATTTGTTCTTCAATATTTTCATTAAATATATCATCATCTTTTTCGGCTTTTTCTATAATGCTCACATCCCATTCTTCATCTAATTGTTGATCACCTGAAATATCTTCATCTAACTGCTGGTCACTTGAAATATTTTCATCTAATTGTTGGTCACCTGAAATATTTGAGATATTTTCATGTTGGGGTTCTATCTCTTGAATTTCTCGATCCACGCGGACCAAATCATCGTCACGACTCAAATCAACGTCATTAGTGTCGTCTTTACTAGTATCGTCGATAAAGTCGATATTATCAATACGATCTTGAATATCTTGAATATTTGTAATGTCACTTGATGATTCTTTATCACTTGATGATTCTTTATTTTCTTGAATTTCTCGATCCACGCGGACCAAGTCATCATCCCGACTCAAATCAATGTCATTGGCGTCGTCTTTACTAGTATCGTCGTTAAAGTCAATGTTATCAATACGATCTTGAATATCTTGAATATCTGTAATGACATTTGATGAATCTTTATCATTTGATGCTTCTTTATTTTCCTGAATTTCCGGAATTTCTTGATCCACGCGGACTAAGTCATCATCCCGACTCAAATCAATGTCATTAGCGTCGTCTTTACTAGTATCGTCGTTAAAGTCGATATTATTAATACGATCTTGAATATCTTGAATATTTGTAATGTCACTTGATGCTTCTTTATTTTCCTGAATTTCTTCATTGATTTTAGAAGCAGATACAGATGGAGTAAAAAAATCTTCGTCAAATTCTTCACTTGATTCCAAACTTTTCTCAAGTTCAGACATCCTATCATCATCTGTACTTTCATCAAGTTCAGATATCTCGTCTTCATCATCACTTTCATCAAGTTCAGATATCTCATCTTCGTCCTCACTTTCATCAAGTTCGGATATCTCATCTTCGTCCTCACTCTCATCAAGTTCAGTTACCCTATCTTCATTTAATAGATTAATGGTGATTGAATGGTTTTCGTTATTTACTGTTACAAATTTACTATTTTTTTTATTTTCTTTCGGTAATATCTTTGCATCCGCATATTTATTCAGAAAACTTTCGCATTCTTCAAGTGTATCCCATTGCTGTGTTGTTTGATACATCTGTTTTATAGAATCATCTCTTTCTTTAAATGCCAATGAAAATTGTTCTGCCAAGTCATTTATATTGGCATCAGCAGGAATAAACCTGAGGAATGGATGAGGGGTGAATTAATATAATTAATTTCTAAAATAATTACTTAAATTGAATAACATATTCCAAAGTATGTGATAATCCACCTTCGATATCCTGGATCATTAATATCATCATCCAAAACTGAAAATTTTCTTGATTTTCCAGCTTTCGGCAAACAACTAGAAGGCATTTCTTTAGAAATATTCCTTTCCCAATTTTGATAAATTTCGATACACCGAAGTCCTTCTATCGTTCGGAATTGTTTATGACGTGTAAGCATATTCTGGATTAAATAAAATAAATATCGATTATATATTTATTACTTTTACAGAAGGTTTGTTTAAAGAGTGTTTAAAAGTGTTTTATTGCACCTCGTAAAAAAGTGCCATCACCAAATACAGATCTCCTTGTAAATTAACCACCGTTTGGATTTGCTCTTTATTGTAGTCATAATCTTGGATATTAAAATCACCTCGAATTTCCCTGAGACATTGAGTAAGTTCATCATCGGACATTACATCGTTGGTATATACTCGTTTATCTTGAAAATTCTGTTAATAAAAAATAATTATTCGGATTGATTCAGACTATCTTAATTTAAAATTATTTATTTATTCCCATATATAAATGAATTACTTACCTTTCCGTATAAAGACAATAATGTTCTCCAGAATTTCCTGTTACTTTCGCGTGGTTTCCAACAACCCTGTGTTGACAAATATAAAATCTGTCCAATTGTTTCTGCTTTTCTTTCAATGACACAATGATAATGTCTTTGAATGAGTAATATTAAAAGAAAAAATTCAATGTCCATCAATGTTGGAACTTCTATCCTGGAGATAATTTTTTGACTCGGTAATAATTGAGTCAAATTGGTTTCTAATTGTTCGTATGAAGGTACTTTAATAAAAAATGAATAAATATCTTGAAAAGGTGCCGATTTGTTGTCAATTATTTCTGATTCTTGAATCTAAAAAGATTTATTAAGTTTACTTTGAGTTCTAAAATACTTATTTTATAAAAAATAAAAATAAAAATAAAAATAAAATAAAAATCACTTTTGGGTGATCTTGTAATCTTGGGAAAATGTCTCGCAACCAATCTCGAAGAGCACCATTTTCTATATGCCACGCTGAAACCATTAAAAAACTGAAATAAAAAATATAATAATTAATTTAGTAATCTATTATATATTTTTTTAATGGATTATTGAAATTAAATAATAGAAATTTTTATACCGATCCAAATCATATGGAGCACATAAAGCTATTCTGTCAATTTTATAGATTGTCTTTGTCAACCATTTAAGAAGGTCTAATTCCTTGAAATTTTCTTTACCAACACTTTGGGATAAATCGTTGAGAAGACTTTTATGTGTAGGCAAACAAAATTTTTGTTTAACACCATCATCATCGTCTTGAGTATCGGTTCTCAAAATTTGCAATGCAGTATCACTTTTATTAATCCATTCATAATCAAAACATTGTAAAAGGATTAACAATTGATGTGATACATCACTAATACGCTGACACATTAAATATATGAAATGACTAATGGGACAAGTAGGATCACGGAATGTTTCTCTACGAAAATATAAACATGCTTTAAAATTTAGATAAGCATCATTAAGATGATCTTGGTTTTTCTTGATTAATTTGAAATCTGAAGACCGATAATGGTTCAAATCCGCGGAGGCCAAATTGAATCGGAAAAAACTTTCATGTCGTAAACTTCGAGATTGATATTCCTTTAAATAGTTAAAAAATAAAATCCCTTTTTTTTAGTTACATAAAAATTTAATTACTTTGATAAAAGTAATGAAATATGAACCTGTTGATAGCGAGTCCATTTTTCCAATAATTGACGATTTTGTGATGACGGTATTTCCCAATTCATAACGAGTTCAGAAAATTCTTTCACAAGTTTACCAGCTTCTTCTCGTGATCTTTAAATCCACAAGTATTATTTTGATTTTTATTCAATTTTGATGAACTTCATATAACTTCGTATAGTAAACTTACTTGAATTTCAAAGACAATCTTACTATATTATCACAAGCAAAGAAAATCATTTCTGTTGGTTCATGTAATAATTCTTTTGAGTTATCAGTAACCCAAAATCTTAATTTTGGGAATGTATTTTTAACAAAGAGATTCCATTCGAAATTATCGACGAAATTATAACGACGTTGAATTATATTTTCCCATGCTCTTTGAATTAAAAATGAACACGTCAATAAAAGAATAAATGGTTATACGCTATTAAAAGTTTGATGTCTTAAGAATTTATATTTATAAAAATACCGTTGATAATCAGGAAGTTTTAATATTGCTTTTGTTAAAATTATGTTAAAACCAGGATCTATGAAAGTATCTTCAACCGTTATCAATTCTTTGACGGAATCATCGATCCATTTAATACTAGCTGTTTTAAAGAAATATTGTAAATTCCATATATAAATATATCAAATTTCTCATATATATATAATATAAGATACCTGGAGCATTCCCTTTACGATATTTTAAACATCCTCGTTTATCAGATTGTCTTTCAGCGTATCGAACAAGGATAGAATATACTTGACTCATTAAATGTACTGCACGAGGAATATATTTTTTGTTTGTAAGACGTGTTCTAATAATTCATAAATTTAATCAAATAAATATCAATTATTATCATTCAATATCAAATTAAATCATTATACTTAAAAGAATTGTGAGAAAAATTACCGCTTTATCCAATTTAGAGCTTTGTCCGCCAATTTTTTTATTTCAGCTTCATCTTTTTGTTTTTTGATTAATTTTAAACAAAGTTCAGCCGCTTCAAAAATTATTTAATACGAATAATGTTAATTTTTTTTTTTTTTCATTTAAATATTTTATTAATTTCAATATTCCATTCAAAAAAATTTACCAACAAAAGCATGATTGTGTGAAGCATTTTTATTACAAAGAGCTCTGTTTATAATCATAAAAGAGAGATAGTAAATATATTGTACATTTGAATTTTAAAAAAACGGAATTAAATATTTTTCACCTCTCATAAAATTCTAAAGCTAATTTCAATCTTCCTTGGTTTTCGTAAACGGTACCAAGAAGTTCATTTGCCTAATTCCAAAATCTAATTATTATATTTTAAAATCACTCAATTGTTAACAAGAGTGGAAAATGACCTTTGTCGTGAGTTTTCACCTCTTGATTATGAGGTTGTATTCTTAACAATTCCAAAAGAAATTTTTCAGATTGAGAATAGTTTCCAATCTTAAAGTATAAATTTGCAATAGAAAGCCAAGATTGCAGAATACGTTCTGGTGCTACGATTTTGCCAAAAGTTTGGATCACATATAGATCAATTTCACTACTGTTTTTAAAAGCAGCTTCTGACGGAATGTAACGACTCATAATATACGATCTTACAATCTTTTCGCACACAAAAAAAAAGTTACTTGTTTTTATTTCTTATCAAAAGATCTTATCTTTTAAATATCACTCCTAAACGTAATTACCATCGAATTAGATATCACACCTAATACGTAATCGATCGAAAATAAGATATAACATCAAGAGGTTTCTTTAGGGTCTTTTTTTTTTGTGTTATTTTGTCAGCATGGTCGGTTTAACTTCTTCAAGTAAGATAAAAAAAATGAAATCCTTTGTCTTTTTCTTCTTATATCTACTGACATTAATTTACAAAAGGTGGGATAATTGCCTTACTCGACGAACCGGAGGAAGAACTTAAAATATATGCATTGGAAAAATTAAACACTCTTGTTGATCAATTTTGGGCAGAGATCTCGGATGCAATCGCTAAAATGTGGGCATTCTAAAATTTTTTGAAGCAAAATTTTGTGTGTTTGCGACCGAATCAATAATAAATTAGTTATGAAAGTTGAATACAGTACTCTTAAAAATTGAAGTGCGCATTTTTTTACTCGAAAGAAAGCGAAAGAAATGTCGACTGATTTTCTTACATTTTAATGTTCAGTGAAGTTCTTTATGAAAACGAATATTTCTCTCATAGACAATTATCTGCTTTGGTTGCTTCGAAGGTGATTTTTTTTAATTAATTCGAAAAAATTAATAAAATTAATTTATCATTCAAGAAATAATCATTGATCGCGTCATTTTTGTTATTTTCTTTATTTTCAATTAGGTTTATTATCATCTCGGAGAATTTGATGATTCTCTGATTTTTGCTTTGGGAGCTGGTGATTTATTCGATTCATCATCCAAGTCAGAATATGTCGAGACTATAATATGTATGTCTTTGATAATATAGGAAGCTTTTTTTATTATTATTATAAATATATTAATTAATATTTAACTAATACTTTATTTATTACCATATTTTCATACTATAATTAATACTATATTTATTTACTTTAAGCCAAATGTATCGACAAATATATCACCTTACGCGTTAAACAATCTGAAGATCCCGCGGGCGGTCACGAAATAGATCCTCGCTTGCAAGATGTTGTTGAACGAATGTTTAAACGATGTTACGATGACGGAGAGTTCAAACAAGTAAATAATTTATGTGTTAAAGATTTTAAGACAAATTATAAATAAATTATAATAATTTTTTTCACTTTTTTTATTATATTTAAGGCTATTGGAATCGCCTTGGAATCTCGTCGTTTGGACATAATTAAAGAAATAATATCTAAAGGTCAAACCTCAGAACCTCTTGCTTATGTTTTGGAAGTTAGCATGACTTTAGTACAAAATTTAGATTTCAGAAATAAGGTCTTTGATCTAATCAAAAAAATAATTTATTAAAATTTTTAAAGTAGAGTTGACATAATTTAACAGCTTTTATTTCTATAGGTTTTACGATTGTTAGTTGAATTATATCAGAATCTGGATGAACCAGATTATGTTTCAATTAGTCAATGCTTCGTGCATCTTAATGATCCTGTTTTGGCAGCCGAAATGTTACAAGATTTAGTTAATAAAGATAATGAGGTGACAGCTTTTTTAAATCATATAATAATTCTGCCAATAATGTTAGCATTTAATTTATTATTGATTGAAATTGTGTAGTATTATCTGTTAATGGCTTATCAAATCGCGTTCGATCTTGAGGAAAGTGCTACTCAAGAATTTCTCCATAAGGTTGTTAGCGGATTGCCAGTTGTAACGTTTCATCACGAAAGACAAGATTCTGAAGCAATGGAAACGGATGAAAGTGAAATACAAGTATGTTATGTTAAGATGTTAATATTTGTTATATTGTTTTAATTATAAAGAAGAATAACATATTGTTATATACATGATTCGGGTTTATTTTATTTTTAGCCTGTAAATCCGTCAGATGAAAAATATGCACGGATTCGCGGTATATTATCAGGAGAAGAATCGATTAGGTTACATTTGGAATTTCTATATCGTAATAATCATACAGATTTACTTATATTAAAAAATACTAAGGTTCGAATTCTGTTATTTCATACTCGAAATAGTTGTTTTGAATTATAATTTAAATTGTAAATTTATTTTAAATTGGCAGAATGCGTTAGAGTCGCGAAATTCGGTTTATCATTCAGCAGTCACATTTGCCAACGCATTTATGAATGCTGGTACGACAAGCGATGAATTTCTTCGCCAAAATCTTGAGTGGCTTTCACGTGCCACTAACTGGTCAAAATTCAGTGCAACAGCAGCTCTTGGTGTTATACACAAGGTTTGTTCAGTAAAAAAAAAAAAAAGGTTTAAGAATAGTTTACTACTAAATTCTTCCACTGATAAAAACTAAAATATTTTCACAGGGTCATTTATCTCAAGGTCTTACTTTGTTACAACCATATTTACCACAAGAAGGCGCGAGTGGAAGTTCATATTCAGAAGGAGGATCTCTATTTGCTTTGGGATTGATTCATGCAAATCACGGTGCAGGAGTTTTGGATTATTTGAGAAATGCTTTGAAAAATACTCAAACCGAAGTTTTACAACATGGGGCATGCCTTGGTCTTGCAGCTGCAGGAATGGCTACAGGAAATGATGGTATTTTAATTCTTTAAAAAGATTATTAAATTAAAATAGAAGGATAATATATTAAATTATTTTATTGACTTTAAGAAATATATGAGGAACTTAAGAATGTACTTTTTACCGATAGCGCTGTAGCGGGTGAGGCTGCTGGCTTAGCTATGGGACTTGTTATGCTTGGAACCGCTTCCAACAAAGCAATAGATGAAATGCTTCAATATGCGCATGAAACTCAACACGAAAAAATTATCAGAGGCTTAGCAATTGGTATATCATTAATTATGTATGGTAAAGAAGAAGCCGCTGATGTTTTAGTTGACCAGCTTGCTAGTGATAAGGTAAACTAAATACTTTTTGTACATTGACATTATTTTTGACATTATCTTGACAATTTTATCTGTCATGGTATCCAAATATTTCCTTTTAAGGATCCCATTTTACGTTACGGTGGTATTTATACTGTTGCAATGGCTTATTGTGGTACCGGAAATAATAAAGCTATACGTCGCTTATTACATGTGGCCGTTAGTGATGTCAATGACGACGTACGTCGTGCTGCTGTTACAGCACTTGGGTTTATTCTTTTTAGAACACCTAAGCAAGTACCTCGAATTGTTCAATTATTATCAGAGAGTTATAATCCTAATGTGCGATATGGTGCCACTTTAGCATTAGGTATTTCATGCGCAGGAACTGGATTGATGGTTGGTTAACTTCATTTTTAATTATTTTATTATTGGTTTAAAGATCTAAAATTCATTTAATTAATAAGAATTAATGAGAACAAAATATTTCTATTAGGAAGCTATCGAACTTTTAGAGCCTATGACTAAAGATCCTGTTGATTATGTACGACAAGGGGCATTTATCTCTCTTGCAATGATATTGATGCAACAAAATGACACTACCAATACGAAGGTATCGTCAACGCGTAAATTATATGAAAAAATCATAAATGATAAACATGAAGATGCGATGGCTAAGTTTGGAGCTGTTCTTGGTCAAGGAATAATCGATGCAGGTATATATTTTTTAATAATTAATAATAATTGGAAACACATTATTTCATTTATTATTAAATTTAAAATATGATATATACATATATAGGAGGAAGAAATGTCACCATATCTTTACAATCACGAACTGGTCATTCCAATATGCCCGCTATCGTTGGAATGGCTGTATTCACACAATTCTGGTATTGGTTTCCATTGACACATTTTCTCAGTTTATCATTAACCCCTACAGCAATTATTGGGTTAAATAAGGAGTTAAAGGTGATTTTAATAATAAGTTAATAATAAGTCATTGAGTTTTTGTATTCTCAAATTTCAACAATTTATTTAAACATATTTATTTTTTTTGAAACATTTAGATTCCAAAATTCGAATTCATATCCAACGCAAAACCTTCACTATTTGCTTACCCCGCCACCACTAAGCCTCCCACTACGAATGTTGTTGAGAAGGTAAACAATTGTTTTTAATTGAAATAATACACCAAATATTATAATGATTTTCATGTATTATATATTAAATATTAAATTTAATAAAATAAGGTGGCGACTGCAGTTCTCTCCACGACAGCGAAAGCAAAAGCAAGAGCAAAGAAATCCGAAAAAGAGAAAGGAACGGCGGACATGGATGTTATGGATACAACGGTGAATATAAATATAAATAAATAAAAATATGTATACATTGGATACATATTGATTTTATGTTTTATATTAATTTTTGATTTGTTCAAAACAGGACGACAAAAAAGATACTTCGGATCAAGCTAAAAAGGAAGAGGATAAGGTTTTTAGAATTTAATTTTAATATGTATTTTTATTGTATTTATCGTTCATTAATGCTGAATAAAAATATTTTGTATATTTTCTCACAGGATGAAACTAAAGATGACAAAAAAGGAAAAAAGAAAAAGGAGGATTCATACGAAATCCTCGAGAATATGGCACGTGTATTACCGGCACAGTTGCAATATATTTCGTTCCCAGAAAATTCTCGTTACGTCCCTATAAAAAAGGTAAGTTGAATTACATAGAATCATTCAAAATTATTCCAATTATCCATAGCTCACCCAAAGCTATCTCTTCTCTATAATTAGGGAATTGTTGGTGGAATATTAATGATGATTGATAAATCACCAGGAGAACCTGAAGAGCTCATTTTGCCGAGTACGCCAGTTGGTAAGTTGTATATATATATTATTATTATTATTATTATTATTTTGCACTTTGATTGATTTTATAATTTACAAATCTGATAATTATTTTACATTTTGTAGCCACAGAAGTGAATGAAGAAGAGGAAGCACCACCGCCAGAACCTTTTGAATACCCGTTTGATGACGTTAAAAAATCATAATTTCTCTTTTCAAAATTTCTTAGAATGACTTGAATGATTCCTTTGTAGAATATATATATTTTTGAACGATCCATGTCATTGATGTCATTGATGTTTTTATCTTTATTAATAAAGAATGGAGCTTTGCTCCTTATGAATTTTATTATTATTATTATTACATACAAGAATACGGAGTATAATCTATATTATCAAATAAATTATTTAACATGCACTCTTACACGTGACCTGCCTTCTACCTTTCGAGAGTTTAATTTGCAAAATTTGATTCTTGAAATTTGTTGAAAGATGGATATTACAACACTACCATTTCAAAAAGTATTATCAGAAGAAGAATCAAGGAATTTGGAAACTGGTACATAATAATAATATTAAAATAGTGGTTATAATCTATTTAAAAATTTGAAATCCAACAATAGATTTTGAAAATTTTCAGTTGATGTTTATATATCAGATGTTGAGCCCAAAGAAACGAGTCAAGTTTTAAAGTAATTGTAATTTTTTAATTATTATTATTTAATTCATATATACATGAATAAATATTAATGATGGAAATATTCATGAAGAAAATATTATGAATATATATAAAATTGACTGTATAATTCATTTTATTACATAAAAAATCAAAAGATTTATACAAGAAAATTGTCCACAATCTAAAACTTTATGTCACGTTAAAAGAATAAAAAAAACCATTCATTCTGATGGAAAAGGGTTCACATTAAGTGTGCTTATATGCTTAACTTTTTCTATATCAATAAATGATTTAAAATTATTGATTAAAAAACAAAATCTTGACTCAATCCTGAATCCACGAGTACATCAAATCTCCAAATATCCACCTATCACAAGAGCTCAGTTTGAAGAATGGAAAAAATTATGGCCCATAAACTTCCATGAAGATCTAAGAAGGTTTTGTAAAGGAATATTAAATAAGAACTATAAGATATAATGATTTCTTTCTTAAGAAGAAAGACTTCCAATATCCATAATTATTAATTACAGAGAACCAAATTTTACATCAGAAGAAATAGAAACCCTTAAAAGCCACATGATAAGAGCTATTAAGTTAGCAGAAATGGCAAAATCCTATGGGGAGGTAAGAATGGGAAATTATTTTTTTAATTTCTTTATAAAAATTTTCTGTCATTAATGAATAATTTACAAATAAATTTGAAGATAGCAGTAGGTTGTGTAATTGCAGATTCAAAAAATGGAAGAGTTCTATCTGAATCATATGACAAAAGAACTTCATCGAAACATCCACTTAGACATGCTACCCTTAATTGTATAGATGAATTATCAATTCCAGAGAGAACGTCAATTCCAGCAACGAGTAATTTTATAATACCGAACAAGAGAAAAGCTGAGGATAATGATCAAACTTATTTATGCAAAGGATATGATATATTTGTTACTCATGAACCTTGCATAATGTAAGATAAATTATAGAAATTAAAAGTAAAAATTTATTAATTAAAAATTTACTAAATTTATTTGAATTTTGGGGGGGGATTAATTAGGTGTTCCATGGCTCTAGTTCATTCACGAGTTAATCGCGTTTTTTATGGAAGGTCAAATAATTTGTCAGGAGGTTTGGGTTCTTGTTATAAAATTCATACTCACGAGGCATTGAATCATCATTTTAAAACTTATAAAGGATTTTTAGAAGATCAGATTGAAATGCTTGAAATTGATTGTTGATATATATTTTCTAGAAAGATAAACAAATCAATTTTTTCTGATATAACTTATGATAAAGATTATAAAGAAAAAAAATTTTGATTTTATACCTTCAGGAGAAAAAAAAAAATATGTACATATAGAAATCTTTAGAAATATAGTGTGTCAATAAAAATTCTTAAGTAATTTGACAATTATTTACTCTTCCCTCTATGTGCCACACTTGTATTGCTAAATTCACTTTTTTGAACCAATAATGGCATATTTTTTCCCATGAGATATAATTTGTTTTTATAATTATTTAAAACAGTTATATTTGAATATTTCAATAATTGGCAAGCAAAAATAAATCCAGTCATGTAAGCATCATAATGTGCCGAATGATAATTATCGTATTGATCGGGTTTTGTGGAAGGTATGAGAGTCGGAGGTAATGCTACAGTCGCATACTCGGAATGATTATTTTGATCACTATTTGAATTATCTTGGTTATTTGAATTATTCGAATTATTTAAATTATCTTGGTTATTTGAGGAGTCCTCTTGAATTTCATTATTAATTGTATCTCTTTCATTTATGTGAACTTTCGTTGATTTTTTATTCGGAGTCTTTTTAGCCTTTCCACGTTTACGTTTACGCTTTGAGGATGTCTTTGTTTGTCCATCTAATATAAGATCTAAATCATGGGAAAATCCGCATTTCATCCGTTTTGAACAAAATCCATGTTGCTATCCAAGAAAATACATTTTTTTTTCTTAGTCAATTAATTTTATATTCACAAGAAAATAAAATTTAAGACTTACTGCATATTGATCACAATAACGGTCTTCCCGCGGACGCTTTGATGACGTAGGCGTGGGATCCAATATCAATTTTGAAGGTTCTAGACTTGTAAAGTCAAAATTACCTTCTTGAATTCTCAACAACAAATAGTTTTTATCTCCAGAATTTTTAAAATCTACTTGCTCTCTCTCGTATCTAAAATGAATTAATTAATTTGATAAAGTGAAATAATTAAAAATTCTTTATAACTAGTTTATAAGATAAATGAAACTTACTTTCTAAACAAATACGCGAGAAAAGAAGTGTTTTCACTAGAGACATAATCTGCCACGTATTTAGTATCAAATATACCAGCACTAAACATTTCAGATAAATCTGCTGTAAAAGTATTCAAATCTTGTGGAAGATCTGCATAAAATGAATAATAGAGATATATCAAATCAAGAAATCCATTATGTACAACTACTGGAACCTTTTGCGACAGTATATTTGAAAAAATTAAGCGCATAGATGTATCGTGGATATTTGATTCTCCAGGAAGCTATAATAATAATAAATAAATAAATAAAATATAAATTTGAATTTTAACTTATTAAACAAAAAAAAAAATGCAAAAAGTAATTCACTAACTGGATCATTTCCCGGAATATAAGGAATTCCATTACGAATTTGTTTATTAAAATCGAAACCAGTATCTGATAAGAATTGCAAACTCCGTGGACTTATTGTGTGATCAACCTAAATTATAAATTGTTTAATTAATTTTCATTTTAATAAAAAATTTGGTTTAACAAAGATATAATTGAAAGTGAAACACTTGCTTGACTCAGTAAAGTGAAATTGAAATTATAAACTTTATATTGTTTTTCTGGTGACTCGGAAGATTTATTTTGAACAGTAGATAAATCTTCGTAAATCGTTAGCCCTAAAGCTACTAAAGCATGAGTTTTGACGACATTACATAAATTAACATATCTTTCTTCGATATTTCTATTAAATAATAAACTTATTAAGTATTAACAGAAGTAGAAATTGAAATAACAGTAAATCAAAGAGTAAATACTAACGGAGCTCTTGTATTCGCGTCTTTGCCTCCGAGTCCAGTAAATTCTGTATCTAATGCTATAAAAGACGCCCGCCTCAATGCGTCTGTAACCTTGGATTGAAGAGGCATAAGATTATCTTTGGTAATGTCCTTTGTTATGAAAAATAAAGAAAGAAGCTAAATGTAAGTTATTGATCATGGTTTGCTTTATTTATTGATATAAAAAAATGAAATTCAAACACACGTTGTAATCAGGTGGTTGAGGTCTCATTTTAGATCTTTTTTTTGATAATGAAAGAAAAAAGTTTTCGAAAAAGAAATTCGAAAATTCAGCATTTTATATACGCGTGCACACACCAAAATCATGTGATAATAAGTAAAAAATCTTTTACTATATAAAGTTAATTATATATTTGATATTGATAATAATTTATAAATGAATCACAATCAAATAAAATTTATAGAATTCACTGGTTGAATGAACTTGGTAAATGATTGAAAATTAATTCATTTTTGATTTCTTTGAAAAAACAAATAAAGTTGTATTTTTTTTTTTTTATTATGATTTGAATAATAATGAGAAGTGAGAAATGATAAAATTAATAATGTATAATTTTCGAACCACGTTTATAAATCATTTTTAAATCTACAAAAATACATGGAATTTAATAAAAATTCTATTAACTATTTTATTCTTCTTCTCGTTGTTCCTTTAAACAGGCTGAGGCAATACGATCTAGATCACGTTGTCCATCTTGTGTGATTTTGCGTCCACTTTGAATAGAAATTTTGTGTTAAAAAATTTTTTTTTTTTTCAAAATTAAAATCGAATAATCAGAAAAAGGATTCAAATTCCATACCCTTTATTATCTTTTTCCAAGACATTAATTTTTTCTAACGCTTGGAGGACTTTACGTGCAATAGATCCAGATGAATCTGCATGATGGGAAGGACGAGTACCTCTTCTTTTACGACCACCATAAAGCTTTTTCAATGCACCGACACCAACTCCATTACGAAGATAAATATGTCGGGCAACCGCCGCTATAAATAATTAATTAATGCATATATGAATAAATTTTCAATTAAATTATTTTAAATGAATAAATTTTATCTTGTCATTAATTATTTATTAAAAATATTACACACCAGCTCTAATATAAAACCAATCGGGGTCATAAGGAGATAATTCTTTGTATGGACCAGTCTTTACGAGATCGACCCACTTAGGTACTTCTAATTTGCCCGACCGTTTTAAATATGCAGCGTAGGCTTTTACAAATTCGTGAGGATTAACATCTCTAACTGTAACACCAGACATCTTTTAATTGTATCAATAGACCACGAACAAAATTAAATGAGAACATTTGGGAATAAATTAAAATCATATAAATAATATAAATCATATAAACTTTTCGACTACGCACCTTGTGCTGTATTTTAAACGTGGATAATCGAAGAGAGGGAAACAAAAAAAATTTTTTTTTTGAAATTTTTATAATCGGGACGACGATCATTACTTTATATGTTTGATCGATCGTCGTCAATCGTTTAATACATTTTATTTGATTATAGCAATAATAACTATTAAATAACTATTAAATTAATTAAATAAATTTAAAAATACACGAAAATATAAGAAAATACACGAAATTCTCTATCATAATAATGAAAAACATTATGAATCGTAAATTGATAAGGTTTTGACGAATTTATCAACTGCAACTTTAAAATATTCATTATTGACCCCTTCACCTCCGGGATGTTCAATTGGTGACAAAGGATTTTTTACAACATATTCGACATAAAAGTTTGTATAAATTTGTCTTAAAACAGGTCGAAGGGAATCGACCATAATATCAGTATTTATAACAAATTTTAATCCCGTTGGTGTTTCATAATAATGAAGTTTATAATTAGATGTACGATATGATAAAAAGCCGTCTTGACTAAAAAATATATTAAAATTGTTTTAAAATTTATTTTCAAAAGTAACAAATATAATATCATTGTATATAATAATAATACCTTCCACTTAATTTTCTGACAAAATTTCTTAGAGACAATATAACTCCATAAACTAATTTTGATTCTTCCTCGATGTTAATCAATCGACTATCCGAAAACATACTCGTAGTACTCGTCAGTTGTGATGTGGTAGAGTGATGACTTGTAAGATGGTTATTTGCCACACTATGAGCTGGTGAGGAAGATCCTCCTGAATCGCCGTCATGTTGACCATTCATACTCGTTGAAGAACTTGTAGTACCAACAGCACTACCGCTTCCACTTTTTCGGTGTCGATTCCAATCCGTATAAAAAATACACTCGCAGTGGCGGTCAAAAATATACATATTGTAAATCATTTTGAAAAATTTTGACGTGAATTTGAAAGAAACGTAAAATTCAAAAAATTTTCGGATCTATTACTCGACATTAATTTCAATGATTTCACGTGTGTACATATGCACATATAATCATCGATTATCGGATTATCATGAAACGCGTAACAACTTTATTCAAAAAGGTTCAAAAGAATGAAAGTATTATGCGTTGCCGAAAAACCGTCAATTGCTAAATCTACTACGCAGATTTTGTCATTAGGAGCTTATTCCTTTGTAAGAAAACACTCATTATTAGGATTGATTTCCTTCCCTATTGACTTTATTTATTCATTATCATATTTGGCATGTGTTAAACATAGCGTGCCTCAAAAAATAAATATATAAAAAACTATGATTTCAAACGTAAACTTCAAGGAAATCAAATGGTTGATGTTACAATGACTTCTGTCCTTGGACATATATTAGCATCTGACTTTACTTCTGAATATAGTTCATGGGATAAAGTTTCACCTTTAACACTATTTGACGCGCCTATCGTAAAATTTGTAGCAAAGGTATTCTTTTTTTTAAAAAAAAAAAATTAAATACCAATCAAATTTACGCGAATTTTCCTTTAAAATTTGTGAATTATGTATGCTTAACCATTATTCATTAAAGGGAAACGAAGAAGTACGCAATAATTTAATGAATGAGGCAAGATCTTCAACAGAAGTAATGATATGGACGGATTGTGATCGAGAAGGTGAAAACATTGGAGCAGAAATCGTTGAGATATGTCGCGAAGCTAATACCCAAATTAAAGTATCGAGAGCTAAATTCTCTGCTATTATACCTCAGTAAGTTTATTGAAATTCTGTCTAGTATTTTTATTTCTAGAAAATTTTAATCCTTTTTAAAAAAAAAAAAATAAATTTTTTTTTACGTATAGACAGATAAATCATGCCTGGATTACTTCTACAGACTTGGACTATCGTCAATCAAATGCAGTCGATGCCAGAATTGAACTTGATTTACGTATCGGGGCCGCATTTACTCGATTACAAACGTTAACTTTAAGAAATATTTTTTCAGAACTCAATAATAACGTGATTAGTTATGGTATGAAGATTCTCTGACGTTAAAAAAAAAATAATTAGATTAAATTTCATAATTTAAGCTAACGCACATATATGTTTTTCTTTAGGTTCTTGTCAATTTCCAACATTAGGATTTGTTGTGGATCAATATCTCAAAGTTCAAAATTTTGTTTCCGAACTATTTTGGAAAATAAATGTGACATTGAATAAGGATAATACAATAACAACATTCAATTGGAAAAGAACTCGTTTATTCGATCGTTTAACATGCTTGGTGATTTATGAACAATGTGTGGAAAATCCATTAGCAACTGTTATTAAAGTAACATCCAGAGAGGTACACAAATGGTAAAAAAAATAATTAAAAAATAAAATAATATTATTTTGGATCTTTGATGAAATTTCATTAAAATTGATTTCTGTTTTTAGGAAACCATATCCATTAACAACTGTGGAACTTCTTAAAATTGGTTCGCGAAATTTACATATTTCATCTGATAGAATCATGCAAGTAAGTTGATAAATATAATTATTATCGTCACGACTTTAATAGTTAACAAATTTTTTTATAAATTTATAATAATAGGTTTCTGAAAAATTATACAATAAAGGTTACATAAGTTATCCAAGAACTGAAACCGACCAATTTGATAATCAATTTGATTTTAACACTTTGATTGAAAAACAAGTACAAGATCCTCAATGGGGTGACATTGCAAAAAAGTATTTTTTATTTATTTATTAATTTATTTTTAATTACTTTTTCATGATTCTATATAATTAAAAATTTAATTTAAATCCTAATATTATGATAAGACTTATGGATGGTGGATTTCGCCCGCCTGGAAAAGGAAAACACAACGATTTCGCACATCCGCCAATTCATCCCACCACTTATGTATCCAATTTGACAGGTGAAGAAAAAAAGGTATACGAATTTGTTGTAAGACGTTTTTTGGCATGTTGCTCTGATCATGCAACCGGTTTTGAAACATCCGTGGAAATCAAAATATGGGAAGAAACATTTACCGTTACGGGTACACATTATTATTCACAAATAAAAAAAAAATTTTATCAAATACTTTAAAGAGAATGGACTTTATAGAGAATTTATTTGAATGATTATAAAAAAAAAATGTATATAATAGGTCTTGTGGTATTGGAAAGAAATTATTTGGAGGTTTATCCATATGATCGATGGGGCGATTCGAATACCAATTTACCTAATTTTCAGGAAGGCGAAACTTTTATTCCAACAGTCTGTGAGATGGTTGAAGGATGTACAACGCCACCAGAATGTTTGACTGAAGCTGATTTGATTAGCATTATGGATCAAAATGGAATAGGTAAGTGAATAATTTTTTAGATATTCTTTAATACCCACCTAATTAAAAATTTCCTAATTAAATATTAGGCACCGATGCCACTATTCATGAACATATTGCAAAAATTGTTGAACGTAATTATGCTAAAAAAGAGCCAAGAAATGGAAAAACATTTATTGTTCCATTAAAACTAGGTATTGCGCTTGTTGAAGGTTATGATTCTATTGGGTTCGATAAGTCGTTGTCTAAACCATTCCTGAGAAGGGAAGTAAGTTGAATTAATATATAAAAAATATATATTTAATTTTCATTGTCTAATATATATTATCTAATTAATTAATATTTTTAAATATTTTTAAATATTTTTAATTTATAATTTTTAGATGGAATCCAGTTTAAAATTGGTATGTGAAGGAAGACAGCAAAAAGATAATGTGGTCCAGGAAAGTCTTGCCATGTATAAAGATATGTACATTAAGACAAGCACTAATGCGACAAAATTAATTAAGGTGAAAGAAATATACTTAAAATTATTTAAAATTATTTCAACATTATTCAGTTCAATATTATTTAATTCAATTTCTATATAAAAAAAAACAAATTAGGGTATATCCAAATATTTACAGGTTTCTAATGATGAAACAAATCTTGAAATATTTAATGATATGTTGGTAAGTAATTTAGGATTATTATACCAATTTTTTATCTTCTAAGTTTTTGAAATATTTATTTATTGAAGCTTGAACATCATCCTGAACCAACTCGACCTATTCACAAATGTTTTCAATGTGGAAGACAATTGATACTTAAAAAAAAACAAAGTGGAGGATGGATGATAGGTAAATTATATTTGTATTTTATAATAAATGGACACGAATAGAAAAAAAAAGGACAACATTTTAAAGTTCATTAATTCACAGGTTGTCAAGGATTTCCTAATTGTAATATGGGAATTAAAGTTCCGGATATTGTTTCCGATATTTTGGTTTCCTCGGATAAATGTAATCGTTGTACACAAAATCCAGAAATTCCTTATTACAAATTAAAGATAAAATTTATCCCAAATAAAGTTCCACCTTGGATTTCTGAAGAAGTAAAAAATCGTGAAAAACTTTATTTAATTCATTATATAATTTTAAATTTCTAATTGATTTTAAATTGATTAATTAGTATTTAGGATGTGTTGGAGGCTGTGATGAATTTCTGAACGAATATTTTGTTGCAATAAGATCTAATCAAAGTAATCGTATGCCACTTTCATCCATGAATCAAAATAATCAAACAAACGTATGTTTATACTACTACTATTTTTTGAATTAAATAAATTTGTAAGAGATATATTTCGTTGTTAAATATGTATTCACAACTTATAAAAATTCTGATCTAAAGCAATCACAATCATCACAACCATCACAATCATCACAATCATCACGTAATTTTGAAACATCTTTAATTCGACAAGGAAATAATTACACTGAATCAGGTGGTGCAAATTTTGCAGGTAATTTTACAGGTGAGGTTAGTATTTAATATTAAAATATTTGAATTGTTTATAAAATAAAAAATAATCATTTATATTAATTTTCAGCCTAAATATTTTTTCGTTTATAATCTTTTTTATAGTCGACATATCGAACTAATTCAGGAATAGAACCTCCGAAATGTAAATGCAATCTCTACGCCACCCTTAAGAAAAAAGTTACACCAGGAGAAAATCAAGGAAAAGAATTTTATACTTGCCATAAAGCAGGACGAGGGAGATGTCGGTTCTTCCAATGGGTTGATGAATCACCTTCACAAGGAAATTCATCAAATAATTATTCAAATAATTCAAATAATTTAAGTAATTCAAGTAATTCAAGTAATTCTAGCAGAAACACAGGGAATACGTGCTATAATTGTGGCGAAGTAAGATGAATTAATTAATTAATTATATACATATATTTTTTTTTAAATCTTAATTATTATTATTAAAAAATTTTTTAGGCAGGACATTTTTCAAATTTTTGTAATAAGCCAAAGATTGTTTCGTGTTTCAAATGCAAACAGGTTTGTATAGTTACTATATAAATATTAATATGAATTTTATTTATGTAATAACATAAATTATTAACTGTAACTTTCAATTAATTACATAGCCTGGTCACTGGTCTAATGCATGTCCCAATAATGAATCTACACGTGGCCGTGGAGGATTTCAACGTGGAAGAGGTACCCGAGGTCATTACACTCGATCAACTCGAGGAGGTAAAAGAAAGAGTTATTAAATATAAGAGATTTGATATTCTTTAATTTCAAATAATTTCACTTAATAAATAAATAAATAAATAAAACTTTAAAAAAGTCTATCTATATATACAATATGTACACCTTATTTATTCTAAAATGATAAAATAAAACAAATGCATTTGATATAAAATTTTTTAATTTTAATTATATTATATTAAATTAATCTTATAATATTTATAATATTCTATTAAATAAATATATATTAAAAATATTAATTAACGACCGTCCCGCATTTTACTAATTGAAAATATTGTGACAAATCCAATTACAGTAATTGCACTAAATCCTTTCCAAGGATTAAAACATTGACCATTATCAATATCACAAAATAATATGTGACTTAATCCAAATACCACAATTGCTCTTATAGAATTTAATAATCCCGTAGAAACATTACCAATTCGTTTCATTAATGAATAATATGAAAGATTATGAATAAATGATGCCATCGTAAGTACCATATATATAATAATAATTACGAATGTGCTAACATCTGAAACTTTCTTTTCCTTTTCCATTTCTTGTATGACCAATTTATTCCAATGAGGTATAGTATAAATTATGATATACATTAAAGATAAAAATGTACAACCACTTCCAACTAGGAAACATGCTTTTTCTGGTGTAGGAGGAATTGTATTCGCCTTATGATTTGATACTAATAGATCATTAACAACGTAAACACATGCATATCCAAAGGTTGCGAGTGATGTTAAAATCATTCCATACATCGTGGTTGTCATATTAAAAGAATGAAGTATAGCTGGTCCAGTAGAAGTAACTGGAGGTGGTGTTGTTTGATCTGATGATTCCGTTCCCTTAGATATTCCTAAAGCACTAAGAGCAAGTCCAAAACATACTCCAATAATACTTATGGATTGTAATAATGAGAGTTTTCTTCCAAGAAAAATAAATGAAAGTACTGCACACCATATTACTACTGAACTATAAATTACTTGAAACATCTTTCAAAATATATATATATATATAATAAAAATAAAAATAAAAAAAATAAAAGTAAAAAAAAAAAAATATATATATAAACATATAAATATATTATTAAAAAAAAAAAATGAAAATTTTATGAAATGAAACAAAAAATTTATTAAAAGAAATTTTTACCCCACTTCCAACATAGAAAAATCCTATTGTCAATGTAAAATTAGCAACCACATCCAAACATGAAGTTGCAGCAATAAATCTAAAACTGATGGATTCTTTAGGTTTTGATGATTTGTCTGAAATCATTGAAGAATCTTCTATTAAAATCTCTTCATCTGCATTTGGTAATAATTGATAGTCTTTTTGTGCTTTCTAATAAAAAGAAAAAACTTTACATTAAAAAATGTTTAAAGGATTTTAAAATAAAATTTAAAAATAAAAATAATATAAAATAAAAATAAAAATAAAAATAAAAATAAAATAAAAAATAAAGTATAAGCACAACCTTGCCAGATTTAATCTCTTCCATATCAAAATCTAATTCAGTTGTTCCAGTTGGTTCATAAGCTATACTTTTACGTCCTTTTCTATTTGCCCACCAGGAAGGAATAAGTAACAATCCAACTGATGCCATTCCAACATATTGTGCTGTATTTGTTAAAAGGCTATAGAGTGAACAAAAAAGTAAATATATTCATATTTTAAAGGTTTTATAATCTTAATCGTATCTACAGAAGAGTCTTTAGTTAAAAATACCTTGTTCCAGCTAAATAATAAAAGAATCGGTTAGAAACATATTTTATCAATTATTATAACCAATTATAATTATTATAGAATTTTCTTACTCGCAGCTCCTTGATAATATAAGTATTGTGCAGCAAGAGTTTGATAAAAACCTGTGAGTAAAAATAATGTTTGATGGCAAATAATTACAACAATAGAAGAATATTCTTTAGGCATTGTTCTAGAGAAGTTACCATCACAACTTATTTGTAAACAAAAAAAAAAAAAAAAAAAAAAAATTTTGGGAATTATGAAATGATGATCATATAATTCCGGTTAACAACAATAAATTCATTCAAATTTTTAAAATAAACATACAAAATCTAAAAACAAAAGAAACTATAGTTTGTTTTATTACATTTTCTTTGCATTTAAAGTACAAGATGAATCTCTTTTTTCCCCGACAAAAACCTAAAACTAACACTAAAGATGCTATTGTTCGCCTTCGAGATACTTTGCAAATGCTAGAAAAACGTGAAAGCCATTTGCAAACCAAAATAGATTCAGAAATGAGGATCGCAAGGTCAAATGCAACCACTAACAAGAGAGGTAATCTTTTTTATTTTATATTGTTTTGAAGTTTTTTCGGTTTTAACTTATAAGTTAGCACTTTTTGACTTCTAGTTGAATTGTTCAAAGTGTAATTAGATTTAGTTTTTTTTACTTCGTTTTTCTGAAAGTCATGTATAATATTTATTAAAGGTTATTCCTTTAATTGATACATTTTATTGTACTTTTAATAAATTTTGCCCGAACCATAATTAAAATATCTTTTTTTTTTTTATTTATTTTTATTTATCTATTTATTGATTTATTTATTTATTTATTTATAAATTTCTAGCCGCACTGATGGCCCTCAAACGAAAAAAGCAATATGATAATCAAATTGAAAAAATAGGAGGAGCACGAATTACAATTGAAGCTCAAGTCATGGCAATTGAAAATGCAAATGTTAATTTGGAGACCATTAAAGCTATGGAACAGGGTGCAGAGGCAATGAGAACAATACATGGATCTATGTATGTATGATGAATAGAATTCATTTGATGAATTATTTCGTTTTACATTTTAACAAAATTTTTTAATAATTTTAAATAATTTTAAATAAATTTTTCAATAATTTTGTTAGGGATATAAATAAAGTGGATGATACGATGGATTCCATACGTGAACAAATGGATTTGGCAGATGAAATCTCAAATGCGATTTCTGTTCCGATGATCGGCATCGAGTTGGATGATGTTTGTATTCAAATTTAATAATTATTTAATTCTATTATTATTATTATTTTTGTTTTTATTTTTTTTTTTGTCTTTAATTTTTTTAATAATTAATTATATGTAATTTATAATTTATGTAAATATTATTATAATAAAATTTAGGATGAACTAACAGCAGAATTAGAAGTACTGGAACAAGAAATCCTTGACGAGCAATTACTTAATGCTCCACAAATTACTGCCCCGAATGTACCTACAATTGAACCTGGTATAAAAACAAATAATTTATATTTCTTTAATTTCGATCAGTAAAACTTAAAATTTATTTATTGATTTATTTTATTTGCTATTTTTAGGTATTAAAGCGAGAAATAAAATTGTTGAAGATCCTGATGAAGAAGAGGAACTAGCACAATTAAGAGCAACCATGGCCATTTAATAATTTTTCAAAAGGTTTGTTATAAAATTAATAAATTAATACAATATTTATTTATTTATTTTATTTTATTTTTTATTTTATTTTATTTTATTTTATTTTTTGTTTATGGTTATTTATCTACTTTTTAAAAAATAAATATTAATTCTCATCTCTTATGAATTTTTTTTTTTGTTATAGCAACCTTTTTTATTGTTTTTATTGTTCGAAACTTTGATTTTTCTTTATATAGATTATTTTTTTTTCTCGTTATTTCAATTATTATTTTAAAGTCTGAATAATATTTATTATAAATCATCTGCATTGACATGTTATTTTACAACATCTTTAAATGATTGTAATTATTTTTTGTCATTAGACAAAAATCTATACAATAAATCATAACGTCATTTAAAGTTGTTATTTTGTGTAAATACATAATTAAACATATATTCGGTGAAGCGGATATAAAATTTATTATTATTATTTTTTTGAGACACGTATACACGTATTTCATGGACATAAAGATAAAAAAATAAACAATAGCATTTTTTTTTTTTTTTTTGGTTAGAACCTGATTCCAAACGAACACTCAGCCCTAAAATCAAGTAAGAATTTTCTTAAGCCATGCATGGTTTAGCCTATACCTGCATATATCTTAAAATAAAAATAGAATTTTACTTTATATATTTTATTTAAATAAAAAAATTTTAACTTTAATAAGTTGACTATTTTAGAATCTTTTCTAAAAATTAAAAATTGAAGCTATGAAACTTTGATAAAAAAAACTTCCAAACAACTAAAATATTAAAATGTATCACATAAATGATAAATATTCTAGGTAATTATTAGCGACTAATCATAGTTTACCCCTCAAATATAATTGTATCATTATGGAATTTCTATATTTGTGATAAATTATAAATTAGTACAAAAACATTTATGGTTTAAGTCAACTAAATTAGTAGTTCGAGTAATAGATTTTCAAATATTACATGATCACTTTTTTTTTTTTTTTTTAACTAAAGAAGCCACCTGGATTTTATATCGGAAGAGTTTAATATTATAAATTCCTCTTCCTCTTAACGAATCACTTTTAATTTTCATCAAAGTCCTAATACGCGACCGGGGTTTTTTTTTCATAATAGTTTCCTTGTGTATCTGCAAGGAACCGAATTTTAAGACATTCCTTTGCGTGTTAACCTCGTCGATCTACCTTCTTTTTTTTCACTTATTCCAAGAACAATAGTATCATTAAAACTAGTGTCTTGGCGACAACCAAAATTAAAACGTTTGGTTGATATAATACCCTCTTCTATCACTATTTTTAAATTAAAATTAAAACAATGCCTGGGCTTTACGACAAATATATTGGATTTGCATTAGCTGTCGCTTCTAGCCTAATGATCGGCACGTCTTTTATTATAACAAAAAAAGGTTTAATTGATGCGACAAGTAAACAAGGTAAATAATATTTTGGTTAATTCTTTAATAATTTTAATATATTTATATATATTTTTATTTTTATTTTTTTTTATTTTGAATAGATTTCACTGGAGATGGTCATGGTTATTTAAGAAATCCAATTTGGTGGTTGGGAATGGTCACAAGTAAATTGATTATAATTATTTATTAAAAATTAATTATTGAATTATTTATCTATAATAATAATAATAATTCTAATTATAATTAATAATTATAATTACAATTATAATTATGGTTTAGTGGTGTTAGGCGAATTATTAAATTTTGTTGCATATTCCTTTGCTCCCGCTATTCTCATAACACCTCTTGGTGCTCTGAGTGTCTTAATTGGGTAAATTTTTATATTCTATTTTAGTAAATATTTTTAGTATTCAAAGAAGTTATTCAATTATACATTCATTATTATATACATATATTTATATTTATTTATTTATTTATTTTATCATCAGAGCTGTTTTAGCATCTCTATTTCTTAAAGAAAAACTTGGTAGACTAGGAACATTAGGTTGTGGGTTATGTATAATTGGATCAATAACTATTGTATTACATGCACCAGCAGATAAGGAAATTTCAACAGTTGATGAAATTCTAGCTTTTGCTCTTCGACCTGGTAAGTGTTATTTTTTTTAAGATTTTTATGAACAATCAATAATTCTAAATAGTTTTAAATAACTTTAAATAATTCTAAATAAATTTAAATAATTCTAAATAACTTTAAATAACTCCAATCAATTTATTTTTTTTTATTTTTTTTTTTTAAAAAAAAAAAAAATATTTCATTAGGATTTTTAATCTATTGCTTCTTTGTTATGGTTTATACGATCTTTGCCATATATCGTATCGTTCCTAGATATGGGAAACAAAGTCCTTTACCATACCTTTCAATTTGTTCATTGGTGGGATCTATTTCGGTGATGTCATGTAAAGGATTTGGAATAGCACTCAAACTTACCTTTGCAGGCAAAAATCAGTTAACTCATCCATCCACTTATGTATTCATAATTATAACCGCCCTTTGTATATTAATTCAAATGAATTATTTTAATAAAGCTTTAGATCAATTTTCCACTAATATGTAAGTTTATAAATTTATTTTCTATCTTTACCATTTTACTATCTCTTATATTATCTTTTTATTATTGGAATTAGTAATAATGTTAAATGATATTTCTACCTATTTTCTTTACATTACTATTTAGAGTGAATCCTATTTATTACGTATTTTTCACAACATCAACAATTTTTGCATCATTGCTTCTATTTCAAGGATTTAATACAAGTCAAGTAAATAATATTATCGATTTGTTTGATGGATTTTTAACAATTTTTGCTGGAGTATATTTACTTAATACAGCAAAATATGATGGAGGGATATCAGATAAATCGATTCAAAATGGAAATGGGATATTATTAACTTCAATACCACCAGAAAGACGTGAATCTTTAATGAGAACAAGAGATGCAACCTTATTAAATTCATATGACGAAGAGAGCTTAGGATTAACACAATTAAATGACGATTTATCGGATTCCGAGGAAGAATAAATTAAGTTAATTATCAGATTAATAGATGAACATTAAAAGGACAATGTAAAATATAATTTTGTAATCAAGTGATTTTAGACAAATGAAAATGAATTTATTATTACTTAAAATTAGGATTACTTTATTTTTTCATTTCTTTTTTCCTTATATTTCGTCTTTCTCTATATATTCTTCTTTCTTTATATTTTTTATATTTCTTCACCTTTTTTTTCACATTGTACAGCATTTAACTTCAAACTTAAAATGATAATAATATTAATATTATATTGACTTCCATTTCAAAAAAAAAAAAATTTTTTTTAACAATTTGTAATGGTTTGTTCAAAAAAAATTATGTAGATAATTATAATAATATTCTCAATATTTCGTACAGGATACGATTTTTTAATTATAAATTTATAATCAAAAATATATATATATATATATATATATATATTAATTTTATTTCAATGTATTTTCAATAAATGAATTAATGACAATAATAATATTACTAATTTGTATAAAATATTTTAATTATAAATAAATATTTAATTTTGAGTTCTAAATGCATCCCAAGCATGATTTAATGTTGAAAATATTCCATTGGCTAATAATCTTTGTTCAATTGTAGTTGAATTACTGAGCTATTAAATTAAAGAAAATAGAGAGAAATTAATTTAGTATTATAATAAATAATTAATATTTAATTTATACTTGAAAGAATTTAAAATGAAAATAAATGAATAAATAAAGTAAATAAATAAATTAAAAATTGAAATGACTAACTTTATCTGGATGAACTTTCGCGATAGCTTTCATATATATAATTTTAACTCGTGAAGGTTTGATTAATTCATGTAATCCTATTTTTTTCCACCCTATCCCTTCCCATAATACCATATCTAAACTACTAATTAATGCTCTAAGATTTGTCTCTTTTCCTAATTTCCATTGTGATAATTTTAGATCCACGTTATCTTTATGTCTCAACTTTTCTGAATCTTCAAATTCTTGTTGACGAGTTTGATTTCTTAATTTTATTACCGCCGGATTATTTGGATCTACTGGTATTGATGTTGATAAATTTATATTTGGTTCAATAAATCCATGTTCATTAAGTGGCGATCCGAAAGTACTTTCAAATTCATTAATTTTATAATTATTATTATTATTATTATTAGATATCGATTCAAAAATATTTATATTTGAACTTTTATTATTATGATGATGATTATTATTATTATGATTATTATGATTATTATTATTTCTATTATTGTTCCCATCGTTTGATATCATATTTATTGCTTTCTGACAACGTCGTAATCCTTCGTTGACTACATTATTACTGCTTGGATCGACATTAATTATTTCCTGAAAATCTTCTTTTGCATTGTCATATTTTTCCATTGATTCATAGGCAGAAGCCCTTCTAAGTAATGCTTTTGTATATTGTGATTTCAAATTTATATCAATTCCTGGGGGAGGTGGCCGTGTATAATCATTTATTAATTCAAGAGATAATGTACAATCCTCAACACAACCACGTTGATCTCCATTCTTTAATCGTGCTGTTGCTCGATTATTATATAGAATAACTAATTGTAAATGTTTAGCTGGTAGTGATTGAATAGCAAGAGAATATAATTTATCAGCTTCTCCATATTGTCCAAGTTTAAATATTTCATTTCCTTTGATTTTATTGACTTCTGAATTATTTAATTGTTCAGGAGATGCATGAATAACTTGACGTGGAGGTGGTTGACGTGGAGATGGTTGACGTGGAGGTGACTTGGGTTTTAAAGAAGAATTATTTATTGGACGTCGACGTGATGGCGATATATAAGTTGAATCAGCATCCGGTTTAGTGTTTCTTGGAGGTACTACTGGTGGTTTTGAAGGTTTCGATGTTTTACGCTCGAAATTTGTTTCTCGACGTTGAGAGGAAGTTAGTACGGATCGATTACGACTAATGGGTCGATCGTCATCATCATCATCATCATCATCATCACTACTTGTTTCATCATCCTGAAATTTCTCCAATTGTCCAACTTTATATTTATTAATATTAATATTATTGTTATTATTGTTTCTATTATTTCTATTGTTTTTATTAAGATTTTCATTACTTGTATTTTCCCCATTATCTGTATATTTCTCTAAATTTCCATATATGTCATTAGATTTTAATATATTATTACCTGTTAATTTATTTCGAATTTCACGACTTATGATATTAAATTTCTTATTTATTTTAGAAAAATTCTCTGATATTCCAATCTCATTAAATTTCTCATCATCTGAATCATCATTATTATTATTATTATTATTATGATTATTATTATTATTATAAACATTTTTTGATCTTCCAAATTCATTAAAATTTTCATATTTTTCATTAAATTGATGATTATCTCCAAATTTTCTGTCATGAAGTTGATCAGTCGAATCACTATATTTTTCGCTTGAATATTCATCAGAATCTTGAAAATCTTGTTCTTGCATCCATCTTGGTCTTTTAATAACATCATCATCTGAACCTAATCCTTGTTTCTGTAATTCTTCAATTGCTTTGTTAACTTTATCTTTAGATTGTTGATATAAAGTACTTGCTTTTTTCAATGCTGTTAATCCTAATCCACTTGCTGTAGATATAAGATTTTCTTTTGATTGATAAAAACTAGTATTAGAAGAACTACTACTTTCTTCATCTGAAATATTCCTTCCATAAACTTTACTTTTTGCCATATTAAAAGATTTTTTATTTGATCTATAACCAATTTCCTTATCATAATTATTATAATAATTCTCATCCTCATCATGAGATGAAAATGTATTAGATTTATGACGATTTAATTCAAATGAACGTAAAGAATCCTTTTTTGTATCGTGTCTCCTAGTAACTACTTGATCTTCAGCTTCAGGTTGTTGAAAAAGAATGTCAACAGCAGATGAAACATCTTCACCATTATCAGTAGCAGCAAGTGCAGTTTCTGCTTCACTAGCCGTAAAACCCATATCAACTATTTGTGCTACTAAATGATCTTTGGAATTATTATTTTTAATTGAACTTATAATTGAGTCACTTGAATTTGTAATAGAATTTTTTAATTTTAATTTTGATTGAGATCTTACATCAAAAAGATTTATTTCATTATTATCAACTGTTTCTTCAAATACCACAGGAGATGATGATTTAGGTGCTTGTTCAAATATACCAAAATCAAGTAAATCATCTGAAGTTGAAATCTAAATCAAAAATAAAATAAAATAAATAAACTAAATAAATTAAAAAAATAAATAAACTAAGTAATTAAAGGTAGGAAAAAAAAAAAAAAAGGAAGAAAGGATTAAAAGAATTTCTCTTTAATTTATAAAAATTAATGAATACCGAAGTTTTTTGATTAATATCCCAATGGTTATCGCCATTTTTCAATGAAATATTTGGTTGCGAGTAAAATTTTTCCTTTCCATTATTCAGTTTATCTCTATTATTTCCGTTATCATTTTCAAAATTATAAATTATAAATGAATTATATTATTAATTATAATTATTGTTGTTATCGTTGTTCAAAAAAGACAAAAAAGAATATTACAAAAAAATAAAAAAATAGAAAATTACGTTTTCTTGGAAGATGACGATAAAAAATCATCAAATAAATCTGATTGTGAAATAGGAGTTTTTTGAGAACTCAAAGTTCCATTTATTCCATTTGTTCCATTCCAATTACTTGATGAATTTCCATTATTATTATTATTATTATTATTATTATTATTTTTAACATTATTTGAACCCTTTTGTTCCAATGAATCCCAAAAATGAGATTGATCATAATGTTCCTTATAATGTAGTTCTTCTTCTTCTTTTTCACGACGTTGATTTTGATCTCGAAGTTTAAGTTGTTCAATTAAAGATAATTTTGTAGACTTTTTTTCAAATGAAATTAAATTATCAAAAGCTTTTGCATCAGTTGTAGTGGATGTCGTTTTAGGAGAAGTGGAATGTGTAGGTGATATAAAATAGTTCGGAGTAGTAGTAGTGGTGTTGGTGGTAGATCTATTATAATTATTATGGTTATTATAGTTTGATTTATTATGTAAAGAATTTGACTCAGTTGAATTAACAAAAGGGAGATTGTTGTTGGTGGGGGTTTTCGATGTTGATGAAAGAATATGATTTTCTCCTCGTAAAAGATTTAAAGGAGTAGAACTATCTTTTTGTGTTTGAGTTTTATTAATACCAGAACTGCTCCAGATTAAATCATTGAGCTCATCCATAGTCAAAGTTGAATTTCACACAATAAAGTATAAAAAAAGAAAACTAATCAATGCAAAGTTATAAAGCGTAATGTAACAAAACGTCTACACAAAGTTTCATAGGTTGGCGTAAACCACGTGAAAAATTTGTCAAATTCCACGCGATTGTAATACAGCCACCTGGCTGAGTTGCAAAAACTAACATATACTCTATATCGAAAATCGAAAATCTCTTTTCTTTATTTGTAACCTTTTTAAGTCTTTATTTTTTTTAGTCAGAGATCACATATAGTACTCGCAATTATAAATTTCAGATTATTGTAGAATTGTGAATTTTTTTGAATTGCAAAATTGTAAATTTATGATTATATAATTAATTTACAAGTATACAATTTAAATAATTTTAAATAATTTCAAATAATACTTTTTATGATAAAAGATCTATTTATTTCATTCTAAATTTATAATGATAAAACCAAGAAAAAAAACTATCATTTTGACTAGAGAAAATTCTAAATGTAAAAATTTTTGAACAAAAGTCTGTGGATCTGTAATATTGAGGACATGTAAAATAGAACAATGACAGAATCCATTTATTCATGAAATTAATTAATGCAATATATTTGTATATACATGTAATAAGAGAAATAAATAATATTGTGGTGTATACCCATCACTCCCACAAATGCAACACAAATTACATTATCACACCCACGTGCTATCAGATTTAGAAATTTGAGATGTTTGAGATTGTTTTTCAAATAAATGACCAATTCGATTATTATGAAACCAAAATCTCCATTCATTCCAGAAATTTATACTAGAGCCAAAAATTATAAATATGCTTATTCCCAATATTGCAGTTAAAAATTCTGCTATAATAATAAGTGATAAACTTGGAACATGAGGTGTTGAAATGGAAGAACAATAATTTTGAGCATTAATTGATAATGAATTGGCAGTTATTAAACATGATTTCCATTGATCAATCCAAGCTGGAAATTTTTCATTAGAAATTAAAGGTGCGAGTTTCTCTAGGGTTATAAACTTATAAACCTATTTTTAACAACAATAAATAATATATATATATATATATATATATATATTTGAATCAGATATAATCGTAATAAAAGACGTTAAAAAAAAAATAATAATAATCACAATAATAAAAGGAAATTAATTCATACCCAAAAAACCATAAAAGTAAATATTAATATTAAAGCTAACATCAAAGCACGCCATTGTATTTTAATAGCATTGACGACTTCTTTTTTGGTGATACTAGTGGTTGTTACCGAAGTACTAAAAGTACTTTCATCAAAATCTTGTTCAAAAAACATACATTGAGACTATTATAATAAATAAATTATAGTTATATTAGTTAATTATAGTTAATTATAGCAAATTATAGTTAATTATAGTTAATATGTAAAATTTATATATATATAAACTTACTTTAGCGATATGTATAAATGTTAAAATATGAATAATAAATCCCGAAACAACAAATACTGCTAATGGCGTCCAAAAAAAAAATTCAGCTTTTTGGGGAGAAACTAAACAAACTGCTCCAAATTCAAACGAAATTTCTTTAGTGAACGCCGGCAGAACAGTCAAAAAAGTTGAAATTGATAATACAAATATTTGGAATATTATATAATAACGTTGTATAATATTAGAATGCCAGACAGTTTGGAAATGTAAATGAAGAATAAGTAAGAAACAATAAAGAATTAATGTGAAGGTTGAAAAGATTAAAATTATTCCTATAAATAAAATAAAATAAAATATAAATTAATACATTAACAACAACAACAACACAAACCACAATAAAATATTTTTACCTTGAATACCACATAAAAGATTATTGGAAATATTTGCTTGAGTAATATCATTCGCACATTGTACCTTTCTATGATCTCCGATATAAAAAAATGTTACTCCCAAGAAAACTAACAAACTTAAATTAAAACATAATACTGTTACAGCTGGATGCTCTCGTTTATTCGGTAATACAATATAACTAAGAACAATTGTGAGAGCCGAAATAAATGATATAACGCGAAAAACACTTAATATAGTATAAATATTATCTATTTTATTTTCAGGATAAAAGTTATTAACGAATGGGCAAGGAAGACAACAACCATCAGAACATGTTAATTTTGTTATTGAAGGATTTGGGTCATTAATTAATGGTAAAGGACAAGTAATATTTGCAGGTAAAGGTTCAGAAAGTGTTCCATTTATTAAGTATATTAAAAATAAAATAAAATAAAATAAAATATTATGTTGAACCATGTTTTTATAAAAAATAAGATATAAAAATAACGGTTCGAAATTTGAATGTTTGAAATTTTGAATAAAGAAAACGATGAATTATAAGTTGAATTTACTGAATTTATTGAATTTATTGAATTTTATTCAACTTATCGAATTTATTCAACTTATAAAAATTAAAAGAATTAAACATTATGCACTATATTATAAATGGAAGGAAATCCGGATCGATCTAATTTGATTAATAGTAAAGTTAAATATAGTTAATAATAAAATAAAATGAAAATTCTTATATAATAAATAGAAACGCGTGACCAACACAAAAGGATAAAAGATTAACATTGCATTGAGATTTGTGTAATATGCGGGGTAACGCAAATTAGGTAATTTAACTTTTAATTAATTTAGTTTAAGTTTTAAATTCCAAACTTTCCCAAACTTCCGAATAATGGAATGGATTGAAATTTGAAAAAATCCCAATTTTGATTATCATAATAATAACCAATTTCGATCGAATCTAATTAAGTTTAATTAAGTTAGTAGTAGTTTATTTTAATATTTTAAGACTAATTTTAAAATAATAATATAATTTTAAAGAGTACAAAATAAAATGGATTGATTTTAAAAGAAAAGAAAAGAATAAATTAACGTCATTTAACGACATTTTAATGTATTTAATGGTAAATCAATATATTTAAAGATTTATGAAATAATTCAATGTGGAATGTGTTGAAATAACATTTAGAACTGAGTCCGAAGAAAAGTTTCATGATTTTTTCATTAAAAGTCAAATGGTAAATAGATTTACCAAAATGGTAAAATGATTAAAACGTGTACGATGTTATAGAAAATTTATTTGAAATCGAATCTTAATCTAACTATCTATATATCTAATAACAAATTGTAAAAGTTGTAATTACGAAGTCTATTTATAATAAAAACGTTATAACTACGAAGTCTATTTGTAATAAAACGTTATCTTCTATCTATTATTATAATTATAATTATATTTAATATTTTTAATATATATATATATTTATTTATTTATTTATTTATTTAATAGATTTTTAATTACTTGATTTTATAATTTCAAATATTTCCATTTCTGAAATTTCAATGTTCATTTTTTCAAATCCATAACATCTTCCTAATATAGGTTTTTCATAAGATTTTTGCATCAAAGTGATATATAATTTGTCAGGATCTTTAGCTCTACCATACCATTTACCATCAGAACCAATCATACCAGCATATCTTCTACCTGCTCTATAATGTACACATAAATCTGATTCGCCAAACCAGGGTCCTCGACAACTAAATCCAACTGCAAATTTTGAACTATCTTTTTTGATTCTACTTAAAGTTGCATTATATTGAACACTATTATTATTATTATTATTATTATTATTATTATAAAGATTATTATTTAAAAGTTGTATTTGTGGTGACGTTATTGTTGGTGTCATTAAAATTGTTGTTGGTGTTATTGTTGGGGTTAACGTTACATTATTATTATTATAATTATTATTGTTATTATTATTGTTAATATTATTGTTATTATTATTGTTATTATTATTGCTATAATTGTTGTTATTATTAAAGTTATTATTAAAGTTATTGTTATTATTAAAGTTATTATTAAAGTTATTATTAAAGTTATTGTTATTATTAAAGTTATTAAAGTTATTAAAGTCATTGTTATTATTACAAATAAATGAAAAAATAAAACTATCTACTGAATCATAATATTCAATATCATTATCTATTCTTAAAGATGAATTACGATACAAGGACCAATCAATTGGATCATATCCTCCAAATAAATATCCTGTATTTTTCATCTTCATTATTGTAATTGTAGCTCCCCCTTTATGATAAAATCTACTTGGAGGTAAACCATGAGATTTGGATCGATAAAGTAATTTAAAATTATATGGCATATTTATTCCATTATAAAGTTCATAATTATTTGTTATTAAATCTTTTTTATCTATCCACGTTGCAATTAATCCTGCCATTTTCCGATTTATTAACATTGAATCAAGTGATGATCCATGTGGTGGTAATATTATTGATGTTTTTGGTCGAATTTTATTTATATTTTGATACATTCGAATTTGTTTCAAGAAATCTTTGCTTGGTAAAATTTGTTGATATGGTTCCACCTTTTTATCTATATCTTCTGGTGTCATATTAAAAAATCTAATTAATGGTAAAATATTATTTAATGTCAATTTTAAATCTTTAAATTGTTGTAATGAATAATTTTCTGTTGTTGTTCCTTTAATTGCTTTAAGTACTTTAAATGCTTTAAATGCTTTAAATGTTTTAAATGCTTTAAATGTTGATGTATTTGCAATTCCCCATTTTATAACATATTCCCAAATTTTTCCTTCTTCCATTCCAAGAACTTTTGATTTCAATACATATATCAGTATTTCCTCTTCAACTTGAAGATATTCTGATGACTCAAAAAATATTATTGGATGATCCGCTATAATTTCTTGACAACATAAATTTAATTTGGTTGCTGCTGAAATCTGAAGTAATACTCTTAAAACTGTAATAAAATCTTCCTTTATCCATGTGGATTTATTTAAAATTATTAATTCTTCAACAAAATCGAATAATTCTTTAACAAGTAAAATATCCGTTGCTAATAAAAGTTGTAATAACATGTTTAGATCATCGTAATAATCTTGACAAAATATTCCACTATATATGAATCTGAAATAATTTATTATTATTATTATTATTATTATTATTTAAATTATTTAAATGATAAATAAATAAATGATATTTAAAAATTATTTGATTACTTACTTTAGTATTACCTCAAATGCATCATTAGTAATATTCAAATCTACTAGGTTAAATTGATATTTATTATCTATTTTCTTTGACCATCCATGTGATAATGCTGCTCTAAAGTAATTACACCTTCCATATAATATTATTGAATGTGCTTCAAAAGTTTTTATATTTCCTTGTTCTCCAACTTGTATAACAACATCTCGAAAATCTGTTATATCAAGTAGTTTTGAAAAATCATTTGATAATGTTGTAAAAAAATTGAATGTCATTTTTGATTCTCGGTTTTTTTTTTGTAATGGAAAAGAGGATGATAATAATTATGATATTAATTATGTATTTAATGTGTGTGTACGTGTAAAGGTGAAGGGTACATGAAATTTTTGATCTTATTTGTATTTTGTATATTTTTGCGTATTCTGTATATTTTGTATTTTTTGTATTTTGTATATTTTGTATTTTTGTGTCTGTGTTCTTTGAATAGAGAAAAAAAAATGACAATAAGATGACAATAAGATGATGCGTAATTTATATAAAATAAACAAAAAATCCTTATATTTAACACTTACCTAAAATGTATAATAATGTTTAAATCACGTGATATATGGTAAACAAAGCAAGGGATCAATTGACGAAATTATGACAATAATTATAATAATTATCTAATTTCACAATTTTCGTTATAATGTAATCGTAATCCGTGATAAAGATGAATTCAAAGATACCATAAAATGAATCATAAAGATGAATGAATGATGAATGAATGATGCTAAAAAAAAGTTTACAAAAAATGATTTTTTTGACATATTCACGTATTTTTATAAAATGAACCATTCCCACATTATAAAATTTCTTCAAATATTTTAATTTTCCCTATTTTTTTTAAAAAAAAAAATGCCGCGAGATCTTGTTACTGAACTTAAAGAAGACCATCGTGTAATAAAAAACCTTTGGGAAGTGTTTAGTAGATCTAGAGGTAACGAAGAGAAACAAGCCGTTGCTAACACTATCATTCGTGAAGGTATGAATTATTTATTTATTTATTATCTGTTACAGTAAACTTGTGTAAATCCCTAACATTTTTTTTCTTTTCAAAAAAAAAAAAAGTCTCTATTCACGCTGCATGTGAAGAATTAAGTGTTTATCCACTTCTTGAAAAACATTTTGGTAAACATATCGCCGAAGAATCACGTCAAGAACATCTCGAAGTTAAAAAAGAATTGAAAACTTTAGATTCTATGAAAGTTGGTGAAGCTGGATTTATTACTCTTCTTGAAAAAACGTTGAAGGTATCGAAAAAATAATTATATAAACTTTAATTATACGCATAAACTTTAATTATACATATAAACATTATTTACGCATATAAATATTATACATATAAACATTATTTACGCATATTAATCTATTTTGTATAAACTTTATATAGGAATTTATTGTCCACTCTGAAAAAGAAGAATTAGAAATACTTCCTAAATTCCAAGAAAAAGTTACTGAAGATGAACTTTTAAAATTAGGAAAAAAATTTGTTGAAGATCGTCAAACTGCTCCCACTCAGTTAAATATTAAAAATTTTAATACCTTGAATTCCTCTTTTTTTGTGCATTTTTAACAAATTATATACTTTTTACTATTATTTTTAGTCCCCATCCGGAATTTCCTCTTGAGGTAAAATAAATTTCACATTTAATAAATTTTTTTAATTTCGATTGATTTTTTATTTTATTTTTTCTTCTTTTGTTTTCAGCCAGAAGAAGAAGCTAAAGGTAAATAAAATTATTATTCTTTTGTTTTTTTTTAAAAAAAAAAAATAAAATAAAATTTTTGTCATTTATTCATTATATTAGTCGCCCACCGTGCAGCTCGAAAAGACAAGAAAATTGATGAGTCCCGAATGTTTATCGAGACCGGTAGAATTTATGTTTAATTGAAAATTGACACTCATCAGATATTGAGTAATGATTCAAAATTCCCTTTTGCATTTCTTATCGAAATTGCTTTAATTTTTTGTTTCTAATAAATATTATAAAATTCAATCGTCCTTTATTACTTGATAATTTTAAGAAATTACATTAAAAATATATATACACATTATATATATATATATAATATTTTTAATTATTGATATATACATAATTTTTAATATTGTGATATGGTTTCGATTGATCTTTTTAGGGAAATATATATTTTGATGATTATTTGAATTGTTATTCTTGACATAATTTTTCATTAAAAAAACTATTTGCATAAAAAATTTAATTCTTAAAAATTAATACTTAATAATCTTATTTAATTTTGATATTTGCATGGTATATCTGATTTTATGCAACGTGTACATTTATCATTTGCATTTCGTTCGCATTTTCGCTTCCCCTTTCGACAAGCTTCGCAAGCTTTTCGACGTTTCTAAAATTCAGAATTCATGAATTTTTGAATTTTTGAACATGATAAATGATCAAAGAAAATTTTCTTACATTCACAGCTAAAGGAAAGATTCTTACCGTCGAATTAGTGTGACTAACATTAAGGCAGATTTCATAAGATTTTCCGTCACAAAAACTACCGTATGTCTTAAAAATTACATCATTTGACTCCGTATCCATTAGATGGAAATTTGAGACACGAAAAAAGGATCCCAACTCCTTTTCGATTACAGCAGAAGTAGCGTCAGGTGCAATCCTGAATGTTTGTTTTGATTCAGGTTCTTTTCGAGTAATCGTAATTGATTTCATAATTATAAAATAATTAATGAATAAAGGATGAGTGAAACGAAGACGAGAAAGTGTGGATATTTATATAGTTTTTTCTTGAATGATAAAAACATAAAGTGTAACAACAATAGATATAAAATTAAATATTGGATCCGAGCTTTAAATAAAAAAATTATTAAAATAGTGAGGTAAACAATTAATGAATGAATTTTCACCTTTGAATGGAAGAAAAAATGTTTCTTTAAAGAACATATTATTAAATTGTTTGCATGACATTACTAATTATAGTATTTTATTTATTCTTCATAGTATAACCATATTTTTGATTCCAGCGTAATTTATAAGCAATATTCATCATTCTTTGATTATTTGATTATTTTTATCGACTTTAAAAAAACGTTTTGTTATCCTACTTTTCTATGAAAAGACGTTAATTTCCTTTTATTCTTTTTAGAATAGTACGAGGATAGATAAAAAAAGTGATCAAAAGAACAATATTTATTTATTTACAAAGCAATGATGAATCTTTTCTACAGCTCCTGTAATTCCGTATTTCATAAACTAAAACGATCAAAGTCAATGGATTGATCGCCTTTGTTACAAATTCGATATTCTCTTTACGTCAAAGAAGGGGAGAATGGATTAACGTGATCGATCAACAAACGTGTTGTCATTCCCAAAAGAGTTAGAACGAATTTGTATAATTACTTTTTTCGGTGAGCATAAATGATCCTCTTTGTTTAATCATTTGATCACATGTAACTCATTTACTTTGTTAAATCGGATACAACATTTGTTATTATATGTATTTATATATTAAAAAGAACCCAATATTAAAATATTGCTTTCATGTGCATATCCTTTTAAAGTTAGAACAATATCATTTTATATATTTAACAAAATCATTTGAAAAATAATTCTCATTAACTTTATACTTTGTTATTGAAAATGGAAATTCCACAAATATATTCTAGAAACCAGATAAAAACATGTGACAAATAATCTTTTTACTTACTTCGAAACAAGAAAAAAAAAAGTCAGATTGTAGATTTTGAAGAAAAACCAAAATTTTATAGTACATTATCCGTTATTTTTAGTTAGAGCATAAAATAACAATTTGAACTGAAAATTTATGTCTATTTTCACACGATTCATATTGAAAACCAGCTGGTAATAATACTTTCTTTAATAATATTTTTAAAGATCAAAACATTTGTTTAGTATACTCTTTGTTACTAAGAATTTCTTGTTTTTTAAATCCCTAGTTTAAGTCTCACAAGAGTGACTTGACTAAAATAATTATATTCTTTAATCAAAAGATTTAAAATTATATAATATTCTCTAATGCAACTAAATCCGTTTTATGGACAAAATAATAAATTAATCTGTAAGCGAAAATGAAAGAATATTCCAAAAATAATAAATGAAAAATAAGTACAAATACACTTTCGATTTCATTTTTCATCTTAATTTTCACCGTAATGTTACCTTATTAAAAAAATAAAATAATTTAATAATTTAATAAATCACATAAATAACAGATGTAATAATTTAGGATTATAATTTTGTTACCAATTCTTCTCCAGCGGTAGGATGTATAGCCACTGTATTGTCAAAATCTTGTTTTGTAGCGCCCATTTTAACGGCAACTGCAAATCCTTGTAACTATATAAAAAAAATGATAAATTTCGTAAAAAAAAAAAAAAAAAGGCATATAACATATAACAAATTGAAATTAGAAAAAAATATCTAGTTACAATCTCAGCAGAATCCTTTCCAATGATATGAACGCCGACTACTTTTTCTTCTTCACCTACTACTACGAGTTTATATGCTGTTGTAGGTTCTATTATTATATTAAATAATAAAAAAATACTTAGGCACGAACATTATGACAAAATTTTAGAAAATAAAAAAAATTTACATAATAAATGACTTACTATTCTCTGTCATCGAATAATACATATTTACAAATTTAGAAGTATAAGTTTTAACTTTATTATCACCATATTTTTCTCTTGCCTTCGGTTCAGTCAAACCAACTGTACCACAAGTACCGTGAAAAATAACAGTAGGAATGTTGTTATAATCAAGTTTACTTTGATTGAATTTGGGTGGTCCAAAAAGACGATCAGATAAACGTCGTCCAGCGGCGATAGCGACTAAAGATAATCGAAAGAATATTATTCTACGTAAAATAAAGAAAGTCCTATCAGATAAATTGTATAAATAATTACCAGGTGTTAATTGTGCCACACCACATGCATCACCTAACGCAAATATATTATCTACAGTTGAATTTTGATATTCATCGCTGATAATGTATCCTTTATCATTTAACTTAACACCAACTCTTTCCAAATTTAAATCATGAACATTTGGGTCTCTTCCTACTGCCCATAAAAGTAGATCAAACTCGTCTTCCGTGTCACCCGTCTCGTTTGATTTGAATTGAACTTTAACTGGTCCTTTCTCGGTATCCCGTGATAATGATTTAACATTACCATATGTTAAGAAGTGAATGCCCTCTTTTTTCATTTCTTCAAAGATAGTTTTCTTAATAATTGGATCAAAATTACGCAATACTTCTCCCGATCGAGATAAAAGTGTAGTATCAGTACCTAAAGATGTATTTTAACAAAATATTTTAATTTAAAAACTAAATAATTTAAATAATAATAATAATAAAAAAAAAAAATTAAATTAAATATAAACCCATTAAAATACCTAAAGAGTTAAAGATACCAGCTAATTCGACTCCAATATAACCGGTACCCACTACCAAAACTTTTTTTGGTTGTTCTTCAAGACTGAAAAAATCATCACTGGTAATGCCAAATTTCGAACCAGGAATTTCTGTTGGTATTTTGGGATGTCCACCTGTGATAATTTATTTTTAATTTATTAGTAAAATATTAATAATAATAAATAATAATAATTAAATTAAGAAAAATTATATTATATTATACCAGTAGCGATCAAGATATTTGAAGCTTCAATTTCTTCAAATTTGCCATTATTTTCCACTCGCAATTTTTTATCGCTTATGAAGCTTGCCTTTCCATGAATGTATTCAACATTATCTTTGTCTAAATTTTTAGCATATATCTCATTTAGACGTCTAATATAATCATCACGTTTTTTCTTTAGAATTCCCCAATTAAATGTTGGGATAGTCTTTAATTCAAAGCCATAAGATTTAGCATCACGTAAAGCTTCAGAAATAAGCGCTAAATTTTTTATGTGATTATCATTAATATATTATTAATATTATTAAATAACGTTAACATTAAATAATGCATTCAATAGAATTATTTACCTGTATTAAACATAATCTTTTTAGGAACGCAGCCAACGTTTACACAAGTTCCACCCAAACGACCACTTGATTCTACAAGCCCAACTTTAATACCATAAGAACCAGCACGCCTAGCAGACGCTATTCCCCCACTACCTCCACCAATAACGAGATAATCGTACTTTTTGCTTTTAGCGATTGGTGGCATGGAAGAAAGGGTAGAATAAATATGTGAAAGTCGAGCATTTACTGCCAAAATATTTTTTTTCGATAAGTTTCTTGAAAAACCACAGAAATAACGCGAAACAGATTGTAACATGCTTTTATGCATAAAAAATTTTGTAAATTTGTAAATATTACGTTATCTCAGATTCAATTCTATACTTAAATTGGCTTTTCTTTTGTTGCATAATTATCCGTTTTTTACGTACAAATATTACACAAGTATTTTAAGTTATTTTATCTAACAATTGTTTAACAATTGTTTAACAATTGTTTAACAATTGTCTAACACAGAAATTTTTTAATTAAACCTAAATCAGAAGTTCTACGGATCAGCCATACAAAGATTATATATAATTAGGAAATGGGAAGATTCAATTAAGACTTGTTAAATTATTAAATTATTTGATAATAGTAATCTTAGAATATCAGATAGAATATCAGATAGAATATATTAAACTACATAAATCAATTTTCACATGACAAAAAATCACGCGAGATCAGTTTTGTAGCCAATGGAATCAATTTTCATAGTGACAAGAAAAATCATCTTTACTATGTCTAGTCTTTCGTTACGTCATATAATTTATGGATATCAAAAAGAATCTTATTCATTATATTAATCTTCAATACATTCAAAAATGTGCATCTCAAATTATTCACCTAACATCTTGTAATTAAATTGTTGTAACCCACGTAATACGACCTCCAGAGACCGTAATTCTGGTTCTTCAGTTTTACCTCTCGAATTATCCCCCAATAACTTTTTCACTAAACGCTGTACATTTACTATACGTTCATTAACCTCTGTCATTAAATCCTGAATATCTTTTCTTTTATATGGCCCATAATAAAGGCATGATGTCAATTGTGAGACTGCTAAAATAAATGTCATTTCAATAAAAGTTGTTGTCGTTTTCCATGTCGTTCGCCAAAAGGGCCAATCATCTATTGTATTTTTAGAATTAAGTGAATGTTCCCATAATTTTAGTAAAGTAATTCCATATTCCATCAATTCTAAAAGTGTAGCAATTGTAGCAGGTTCTTTGTCAGAAACTTTCATTAAGGGTTCAAAGTAAATACGTTGTTCTAACCAAATTGGTATTGACATTGCGAGAGCATCCTGAGCATTGGTCAAATTAATGTAGGTTGCAAGAATATTACGTGTAATAAATAAAAGTTTTTGTTGTACTGTTTGTAAAAATCTATTCATTTCATATGATTCCGGTGAAGTCACATCAACAGCAGGTAAAACTTTCTTAAAAGATGACTTGATACCATCAGACAAAGGAGTTGTTGATTGCTCTTTTTCTTCTAAAGAAAGAGGTTGCACCATTCGAGATGTATATTTTGGATGAGAAAATAAAGAATTTATCTTAGCCAAAAGTGTTATTAGGTGATCTTCGTAAATACGGGATAAACTCGTCTCATCTGATGGTCCCAAATGAATAGATAATTGATAAAATAACATAGTAGTTCGTAATATCTCCTCAATATATGACGTATTTATTGGAAGTTCACAAGCCATCGAATGCATAATCTGATTGGAAAACAGATTAATAAACCCAACAAGATTTTTTAAGTAATTTCCCTTTTCTTTACTTTCAATAGTACATAATATACTTGTCACTACTGCTAACATAAAACACCATACTTGATGCCAATCTTCCTTTGGATCATACACTACAATTCCTGCCTGTAATGATGGTGACAAATTGTTATTACAAAATTTGATCATAATTTCATCAAAATATAATTGTTTAGCAGCGACTGGAACATTCGCTAACGATAAAATAAAATGCATAACACTATCGATATATATGGGTCGATCTTTCCATGGCATCGACAAAGATTGAGTAAATGAATTAAGAAGTAATTTGATGATATGATAATCTTCTAGTATTTTAAGCCAAACTGTAGGATATGGATTACATAATGGTTGAATAAGTTTCTCCATTGTAGCAATGAGCGTCAAAATATCCTCTTCGTTATTTGATTTCTTACTCACCAATGATTCAAATAATGCGCTAATTTCTGAAAGAAGTGAACGACAAGTGTTCCGAAATTCTAATAATATTTTTTCATTACGTGATAGATGTTCATCGGCGTTATTGAGTGCACGGAGACATAATAATAATGATTGTAATAAAGGTCGATGAAATGCTGGTGAGGATCGACCTTCGACCGAATCCCGTATTGGAAAGATTACACTCATAATTCCATTATGTAAAAGAGTAATCAATTCAGCATATTGAATGGCTCTTTCTGATATCGGGTGATCATCGGATATAGATAATTGTTCTAATAATCGTAATAACAATGTGGCGAGATCGTCACGTACCACCAACATTACGGGATCCCCATTTCTCGTTTCTTCCTCAATACGTTCTGCAATACCTCTCAAAATTGGCCAAGAAATATCCTTTTTATTTTTCGAAACCCAAAGTGCGCCATTTAATCTATCAGATGCAGTTTCCATAAAATATTTCCATGACCTTAATAAAACTACTTGAGCATCAACAATAGACCAATGATGATTCTCTTTACATAAAGCAAGCAAAATATTTTCTTTATTTTTTGAATCTTCATACTGAAGTAATAATTCTCTCATCAAATTGATGTTATACATATAGTTATCCCCATAATTATGACTCAAATCATAATCCTCACTCCAACATAAAACAGTTAGACTATTCAACTTGATATTTGGAAATAAATTATCTACGATATCATATAGTGAATGTTGAGTAACAGAATCATAATCAATGCGAGTAAAATCCTTGAGCCAAGAAAGAAGGCTATTGGAATCTTTGATTGCTGTAAACATTATTTTCAAACCATTTGAAGACTCCAATTTTAAAATTTCATCGAAATCTTTGAGAGTCAGAATTGTGGTCGAAAATGTCAAATATCTAATTTCATGGGCTAATATTCGTAATACTCGAGCTTTAATATTAAGATGACAACATTCTTGTACTACGATTTCATTCGAATCACTGAAAATATGATCTTGAGATGAATATAATTCTGTAATTTCTATGGATTGAGCTTTCATTTCAGAAAGAAGTATTGAAACCAGATTTTCCCAAAATTTATTATTTAGTCGCAAATTTTGTAAGATATTGTAATCAGGTCTCCAAGCATTTTCCCATAAAACATCAAGAAATCTTATTGAAGCAAGAAGAATATTAGGATTTTCCTTTAAAAGAATTTCCCAACCTTGTAAGAATTCGAAAACAATTCGAATTAAAGAATTAGATGGAATTATATTTGTTGATTTTCCTTTACCTTTATGATCAAATATTTCAGAGAAATTGTCATCACCATAAACAATCAATCCCAATTTTGCTTGTGTAGCAACAGTAAAAAAATTTAATATTGCAACTTGTAATTCAGGAATATGAATGTCTTTCTTCAATCTATATAAATAGTTTTTCATTAAATTTTTTGATTCAGGAACGCTTCCAAAAAGGCCATTTAAAGGAAGACAATTTGGCATTGATTTGATTGCAAATGTAAAAAGTAATGTCAACAATTCGCATGCCATTATTGGAATACAAGGACTATCTGTATACTTGATAAGTGACGCAATTACAAAAATTAATCCCCTACTGTTATTTCCAGTCGTTCTATCTAATAAAGTAATTTCCAACCATGATGTTTGAGTGTCATTTATCTTGTGAATTTTAAGTAACCTTAAAAGAAATGCTAATGCCAACTCAAACAATTTTGCTGATTCAAGTGCCATTTGATAATTTGATGCCTTTTCCAAATAATTACGAAAGTCTTTACCTCTTTCAATAATTGTAAATAGTGGAAGAGTATGATATAATCCACCTTCTGTCAAAAAGCTATTTGTAACATATTCTTTGAGTGAATTTTGAAGATCATTTTCTTTTGTACATACCAAAGGTTCATTATACTTAATGTTTCCAATAATTGGAGGACAACCAAGAATGATTCTATTAAATATTTCTAAACATTTTGATCCAATTTGAATACGTGTTACTGGATTATTATAACGCCAGTGATCATAAGATACAAAAATGACACTCAAAATATAGGATACGCACGAATAAAGAACATTCTGATCCAAAATTAAATTATCACGTTCAACATTATTTAACATATCTATTACAAGATCTAAAAATGCAGTAGTTACGGGATAACTACCTGAAACACATTCTTTTTCAATTAATAAATACTGTAATTGATCAGTTGATTGAATTTCATTTACAATCCAATCAGTTTCGGGTGCACGTGGTAAAAGTCTTGATTGCTTAAAATTTAACATGATTTGTCTTCCAAAGTGAGGTAACAATGCTTTCAAACATTTTAATCCACTAGCAATTAAATTGACTTCATCATGAGAAATTCTTGAGACATCAAGAACATTTTTAATCACTCCAAATATAATTTCTGAAAGATCATTAATAGGTTTGTTAAGTTCTTGATATGATTCCAAATGTGTCATTAATGGTCTAACGAGGTCAGGCGCATTGATTAATACAGTATTAAATAGTCGTAAAATATCCCATATCCTAGATATCTTGGTTTCACTAAATGAGGACAAAGTAGAATCCGTTATTTCTCCATTTTTTGTAAATGGAAAAGATTCGAGCATGCCGATTAAAAGATGCCAAACTGAATATTTAAATTTCCATCGAATTATTCTTTTTCCATTAATTATTGAAACCACATTACCAATAGTTCCTTGTGGTATTTTAATTGTTTTTTGATATAGATTTTCGAATACATTTATGGACTTTTTAGCATATACAACATTTTCATTATTTAGAACAGGAGATAGTTGATCATCGGTAGCTATATAACAACATACAGGAAAGGATTGCATGAATTCAAAAACATATTTCGCTGAAATACTATCAGAAGCAAGAGCAGTAAGTAATCGTACAAGTGGATAGAATTGTTGTGGAAATCTAGTTATTGCTAAATCTAATAAAGATCTATGTTTTGGATTATCAAAATCATCTTCCCAAAATTTTTGACTAGGTCCATGTTCACTAAAAACTTGTGCAAAACATTCAATAAGTCCATAATATTCCGGTAAATAATTTACTTCGTACGCTTCAAAAATTGACATAAAGAATTGTTTAAATATAAATTTGTATCCAGTAATATATGGTTCATCCGGTTGAAAACAAGGACCATTTAAAATGTCAAGAATATAATTAATAACATTAAGATTAAATGCCTTATTTCCACATTCTCTTATTATATTGTTCGCACTTGTTTCAAGTGCTTGATATTCATAAGGCCAACTTGTAATATCAAAAAAATTCTGTAGATGTGATAAATATGATGACCAAATCCATAAAAATATTCCATGAGTTTGATCTTTTCCCATTGTTAACGCAATTGTATTTATAGGCATAATATCTTCTTGTGATGCAGGTTGTTTTTGATATGGTGAAGAAGGAAATAAAAAATCAACTTTGAACTCAACAAAAAGTATTGTTATTAAAAATATTTGACTAAGATCATGAACTTGAATAATTAATTCCTTTCCAATATCATCAAGGAATTGTTCAGTTGGTTGATCTTTACCAAATTTTGTATTTAATGATAATTTAAGAAACTTTAATAATAAATGTGTTTTGTGTTCAGGAACATTTACTGCATACCGTATGAATAGAAGATCCAATAAAATTTTTTGTTCTTTAACTGATTGAGTTGCCCATATTTTTGTCATATTTATATTTAAAAAATTTTGAGGTATTGTTTGTTTTGATTTTCTCTCGAATTGATTAAATATACGATCCGTAAAACCATTATCCAACATATTACTGTGAACTATTTTTCTTGCTAAATCGTGATAGAGTTTATCCGGATCTTGTGCAGAAAAAAACAGATTACATAAAATTTCGATCAAACTACTACGTTCTTCAAAATAATAAAGAATCAATTTCTCTTTTAATTCATAATCATTCCACTGAGCCCACGTAACATTTTCCTCTTTGAAACTTTGGATTAGATCTTTGCATAAAGAATGATCAAGCTGAATTAAATTGCTAAGATTCGATTCTGTCAACTCAAAAGTTTTATTATCTATTGAAGTCACTGGAGTGGTCAATGTCTTTTGATCAAAAAAATCCAATCCTAAGATCAGATCACATAACTTCTCATTCAATATTTTCTCCATAACATTTGGCAGACATTGGCCGTCAGATAAAATTAAAGTAGTACGAATAGTACTGAAATTTTGAGGACTTGTAAAATTATTTGCAGGTAACATCTTTTAACTTTAACACAATTCGTCGATTCTAATATTAACAAAGGTGTTTACGTTTTTAATAAAGCTCGGAATTTTAACCTGTTCATAAGGGGTACAGATTTCTTATCCTATACCCGCAGGGGTTAGGTTAGGGTTTGTCAGGGGTAGTGTATTTATCACTTCAAATTATCGAATTATCGATTTTTATAGAATGAAAAAATAAAAAATCAAAAACCTATATGCTTTGGCTTTGACGAGACTCTTGAAACCTTTGGTGTTCATTTTGTAAAACAAAATATTTTTGGAAATATTATTGATGAAACAAAATTAAAAGCAAATATTAAAGCAGCTCAAAACAGAACAAGAAAGGAAAAACTTTGTTTTTAAGTGAATATTTTAATGACACTTTAGAATTCTAGAAGAGAGGAATTATGGGAAATAGTTAAAGAATTAATTGAAATTTTTGATATGACCAATCCACCTGAAATACATGAAGGATGTGAAAATTTGATTGCATGTTATAATAATGGCTTAGAAAGAATGCAAAGATTATACAGTTGGTAAAATTATCGTGTTAAATGAATTAATTATATTTACAACTAACTTTTTCATTTCTTTAGTATTACATTAAATAAGTAAATTTTTTTTTTTTTTGGCGGGTAAATAGAATTCATTTCAACTTTATTCTAAATTAATTTATTGTAAATTATAAAAAAAATTTAAACTATTTGAATTTTCGATATAAGAAAAAACATGATTTCGCAATTTTTACAAAAGCCAGTGTTTAAATTTCTTTTTTTGAATATGTAAACTTAAAAATCGGATATATATCTGGGTGATGTTTTTAAAATGTTCAAGTATGTTTAATAGTTCAATCAGTAACATAAAAGTAAAAAATGGACGAGATTTCTTCAATAATATTTTTATTTTATTTATTAATAATATTAAAATTTATAGAAACATATGTAAAGAATCCATGGTAACAATCTCGAAAGTTTTTTTTTTAATAATGGATAGATGACTTTTATCACAAAATTAATTTAATAATAAAAAAAAGGCTTGTGTGACATTGATGGCATTAATATTGTACATACAAAATTGTTGATATTTTATGTGAAAAATTGATGTAAATGAAAAAATTTCGCTTCTAGTGAAAGAAAATAAGAAAAAAACTCTATGGAAGCGTTGCGTGCATTTTTTTTTTTTTTTTGTTACTCTATGTAAATGCTTTAGTGAAAATATCATTGACCTAAGGGTGGCCCAATGGGTTTTGGTCGATTTCGTTCTGTCAGTTCGATTTTTCTATTATATATTTTCGAAATAATTTAAATGACTAACGGAATAAAACGAAAAAAAAAATTGAATTTATAATAATAAACATATATACTTACGCATACCATGCTCCTAACAAGGAGAACAAATCAATATGAATTAAAATTATATAGATATATTATTGTAGATATACTATTTGTGCAAATAATCTCAAATCTAAATATCAAAATTTTTAATATTTCGAATACGTACCTCCAATTAAAGTCAATAAAATCCCAAGTCCATTAGTTGGCGTTATTGTTAAATTAAATATTACAACAGCCAAAGAAATTGATAGTACTTGTTTTACATTAGCGGCCACAGTCATGGTTAAAGCCGATGTTTTTTTATTTGCGGTAAAGCTTACTACATTTAGAAAGAAGGCAATGACTCCATTTGTGGCAAGGGCGAAGATCAAAGATGAAGTCATTTCCGTCCGACTGAAAACACGAACTCGATGCAATTCACCAGTAACATAAGCATAGATAACAGTTTGAACAAAGGCTAAAGGTGACATTCGCAATAACAAATCTAAAGGATGAAGCTTAAGACGACCAACTTGAACACGGTTTGTAACCACGGTTTTTAAGGCAGCTAGTATTGTCCCGAGGACAGTTAAAAAGAAACCTAGATAATAGAAAAAAATAAAATAAATAATGAAAAGTAACAACATTCTACTAATAACCTATTATTATAACCTATTATAATCTATTATAATTCATAAATTCTTACCCATTTTTGTGAAATAATAATCACCAACAGTCGCAAATACCACACCAAATACAACCTAAAACAAAAATTATTTCTTCTTTAATAGATATAAATAATAATAATAATAATAATTTTTTTTTGTTTTTAATTGATAAAATTCATACCGGAAGTAAAGAAATATAAGTCATTGTCGAGAAGTTCTTTTTTAGGAAAGCAATTGAGAGCATAATTGTAAAAAGAGGAGTCATTGCCCGTACTACTTGATGAAACTGTCAAGTTTTAAGCTCTTGATCAGTATTTCTAGTTCAAAAATGACAGAATAAAAAAATTAAATATATTTGGTGATCACAAAAAGAAGAATAAACATACCGGCACTGTAACTAAATGTCTAAATATAAATATCAGTTTGTTATAATATAGATACGTATTGAGCAAGCGATTATAGATATGAATAAATTTTCCGCGTATAAGACAATCAATTAGGTAGCTGGACGAAGTCCCTCCCAATCCATTTAATCATTAAACTTCAACCTCACTAATATTGAATCAATATGTATATGATTCAACAAATCCCACCATTATATCCATGAAAATTTGTATTGCCTTTCAGTGGGATATACCCAAAGAAAGGAAATAAATAAAATACCCAATAACCAAGAAAAGTCCATAATAAATACTTTTACTTACAATGACACATTACTAATAGCAATGTTTATGGTATATAAAACCGAAAAAAGCAACATCACCATACTCTCGCGTTCATTTAATCGTGCAGGTGAAAATACTCCCAGCCAATATAACATATAAGACCCAATTGCACCACACAAAGCATGCACTCCCGTTAATGTCCATGGGAAAGGGAAATCAAATAATTGCATGACTGCCTTGTTATACAACGTCAGAGCAAGATTAAGAAGGAAATAAAGGGAAAGCCACATGAAAGAATTGTCAGGTATGGTAAAATCCGCCATTTGGATCGGAATTATTGAGCGAGTATGTTTGTTCATCGGATTCAGAGGTAGCCGATTGGAAAAGTGATTTCGGACAAGATGGTCTAAATAATACTACTCAAGTGAAATAAAGCCTTAGTTGGAGAGGTTGATACAATAAGAGACAATAAATTTTTTATATAAATTTGCTTGCGACTCTTCCAGAGAGACTTTTTTTCTATGAAAATAAAAACCAATTGGATTGTACATTCAAATAAATTTAAAAAAAAAAAAAAAAAAAGCTTTAAACTAATGTCGAGATAACTAAAATTGTACACGTTTTTAACGAATCACTAAATGACTAAGTGACCACGTGAAATTTTTGTTTTAGAATTAATATATTGATTATAACGGAAAAGGACGAATCCCATTCATTAATATTGATACAAATATGCATAAAGGGATTTTTATTATTATTATTTTTTGTTACATAACAGGTGAGAGAAACCGTGAAGGTAACCGACGTTTTTTATACTAATATCACATGATATATTAGATTTATTGAATTTTTTTTTTTATTGGATATGATTTTCTTCCATGGCTGATGATGAGGCAAGTTATGTAGTAAATGTGTAAATTTCAATGCTCAGCCACCAAAAACAAAATATTATTAACTATTTTAAATATTTTAGAAAAAAAAAAATATATATATATATATTAAAATCTTTCTTTTTTTATCCAGAAATCTGAGTTTGCAAATAACAATCTAATAACTAAGCATCGTTCATAATGAGTAAATATGGAATTCAATATAAATTAAAATTTATTATTTTTTTAAAGTAATTAACCCGATTCGTTTTGTTGGGATCTCAAGGTTCCAGTACCAAAAAGAAAGGCACTAAAATGTCTTTGACAGATTTTTTGGCGGATCAGTGTATGTTTGATAACTGCTCTTTTCCTTTGATTTCCGATTATATAACCTTATATATATTAAATTCCTATTTAATTACTATACTCTTCCTAACCAGCAACCGGCTCTTGGGCTGATGAAATGGACGATTTGCCCTCTGCGCGTGAGTTTCTCATAAAATGCGTGTTGATATATTTTGCAGTGTTCACCTACATCTAAAAATTCGCTTTCGCTTTATGTAGCCGCCGCGTCATACACAGGTAGAAAAAAAAAATAAATTATCTTATTCATATAGTTCTTTTATAAAAAAAAAAAAAGAAGTCACTTTAAAGTGCACACTTTGACTGTCTCAGGTTACGGAGACCACGGTGATTCACATCGTCGCGGTAGTAGTTTTGGTGATAGAGGCAGAGGTTTTCCATCAGGCAGAACAAATTCTAGAGGTATTTCATTCTAGTTAATTAATTTTATGAATTAATTGTATTCTTTATACTAAATTATTGTACTTTGACAGATACACGTTACGAATCTCATGAATCTACACGTGATGCTAGGTTTGGCAGTCGTTCAGAACGAGCACCCCAACCACTTCCTACAGCTCCTCCATATACCGCTCATCTAGGTAATCTACCTTTTGATTTGACTGAACATGAAGTGGAGAATTTCTTTAGAGGTTCAAAGGTTAGTAATTTTCTTTTAGGTTTCTGTATTTTTGAAAATTTGTCTAATATCCACAGTTTATTTTTTAGATTAGTACCATTAGGATTCTCCGTGATAGGGATGAAAAACCTAAAGGATTCGGTTATGTTGAATTTGAAGATCTAGAATCATTGACAACTGCATTGGACATGAGTGGCGAGGTATTATATTTATAATACTTCATTACGAATTGAAATAAATTATTATGAAGAAAAATTTTAATGTTTTATGTTTTTCTGTGTGCATATATGCATCTTTTTCTTTGTGATTCGTTGCCAAACTTATTTGAATTAATTTTAATATTTTAGCCTCTGGGGAATCGACCAATTAGGGTTAGTGTAGCTGATCCACGTAAGTAATATTTTTTAATTATGAATTTTTTATTTTGACATGATTTAAATGAATTTGAATTACAAAATAAAAATATAGCCCGTGATCACAATCAGCGCGAGGATCGTACTGCTGGTGAATGGCGGCGGACAGCTCCCAAAGAATCACCAATTTCTCCAAGGGGTGATCGTTTTGGTGTTAGTGATAAATATGGTAATAGAGAAGATAGGTGGAGTGAACGTAGTGGATTTCGTGATCGAAGTGATAGACCTGATCGTGGGGATCGTATTAATGAAAAGGTTGATAGAATTGATAGAGATCGAGGAGATCGTAGTATTGATAGAACTGAACGGAACAAAACTGACACAGAATGGAGAGGGGGCGCTTTTAGTAGCAGCAAGACAAACAGTTTCCGTGAACGTCGATCCGAGGAAAGAATTGGTAATAATAACAATTCAATGAGAAAATCGGAGATAAGATCTGAAAATTCGGTTCCTATCGATACGCGCTCAGTAACATCTGATGGTGGCACATCATCTCCTCCAATGCGTAAGCGTTTGGAGTTAAAACCACGAGGTTCGACTACGACTACTTCCCCAACTGAGCCTACCGCTCTTCCTCGATCGAATAAACCAAACCCATTTGGTGAAGCAAAACCGATAGATTCGGATGAAGCACTCAGGCGAGTTGAAGAGCGAAGAAAACAAAAAGAAAAGGAAAAAGAAGAAAAGGAAGAAAAGGAAGAAAAGGAAAAAGCGAATATTACGGATGCCGATGAAAAAATCGTTGAATCGAAAGAAAATGGCGATTCAAAATAAATAAAATAAAATAAAAAAAAAAAATATATTATGGGTAGAAGATGAGGTAAAAAAAAAAATATGAAAAAAAAAAATATATATATATCTCAATATTTAACGGGCAAAAGTACGACTAAAAGCATATACAGTAATATTTAACAAATATATTTGAAATCATGCATTACATTTTTATTATTTTTTTTTTGTTTTACTATAATTCATACCCTAACCAACCAATCCAATACGAAAAGCTTTTTTTTTGTAGTAATAGAGCAATTCTAAAAACAATCATAGGGCAAAATTACATCATCACAATTTCATCTCATTTTGCCAATAAAGAATTATCCCCATTTTTCATATTAATTATATTAATTTTCGATTTCTTTAAACATAACATAGCATAAAAACTAATTCAAAGACAGAATTTGCTGTCTGACTAAAATGTTGAGAATCAAAAAAAAAAAATAAATATAGTTGTATAAATTTAATCATCAATTATTTAATCATTTTTGTATGTTGAGTAATGATTCGTATATTTGTATAATATTTATAATATATTTTGATCAACTGTATAAAAAAGTAAATACGATTTCGAGATTTCTGAAATAAATATAAGTTTTTATTATTAATGGTTTCAATCAAATTTTACAACCTTTATTTTTTAAAACAAGTTGTATAAAGTAGTAAACATTAAGATAATCAAGATGTATTAGTTTAAAGTATTGAACTTAATGAACTTAGTTTTATTATTTAACATTTTCTCTTCTCTTAAAATTATCTTTAATAATAGTCTAAGTTTTAATTAAGTGTTATAATTTAAAAAAAAAAATCTAAAAATAATTTAAGGTAATGAAAATCATTAACATTTTTTTTGCCTGTACATGTGATAAGCTCTAAGATCTTTTTAATGGAAAATATGGAAAATATGGAGAACCGGAGAGAAGCTCAAGTTATACACAAACTCTTTAGTAAGTCATCGTATCAACGCCATGTTTCTCAACAAAGGTGACTATGAGCTTGATCCTGATAGTAGATATAAAAAGGCTTGTTTCGTGTCTTTGAAATATACCTCACAACGTTACAAACAAAAGTCTCGGCGATCCAGAATACCCCTTTGTTACTTTCTTCCCGAAAGGACGCCTCTTGCTGAGGTATTGAAACTCCGGTTTCCATCAAGTATCCAAAGAGGATTGTATTTCATTATTGCACCTACTGTGCGAATGACAAAAGAAAACGCACAAGTAGTGAAGGAGATGGATTGGCATTTGTGCACCATTAAGGCTTCTGCGGAAATGAATTAGCTAATACATTCTGATGGAGACCTTGATAATGTGGAAGACTTTCGAATGACCGAATTATATTGGCTCATGGAAATTTGGTATGAAAAGACAACGAACGATATGGATCGTCTTTATGCAAACGATATTCACACGTGGATTGCGTTGGACAATCATCCTTCCAGTGTTTTGTGCCCTCGCTAGTATGAATGCTAATACGCCTGTCTCATATACGACACAGCTGACATACCAGGTGAAATTTTGGGTAAACTAGAGATAGATGGTGAAGGATTCATTTTATTGACTGAAGAAATACTTGTTAACCAGGTTCGTTTGAATTTCCATACAGACCTCAGACTTGCAATGACTATTATAAAATTGATTAAAAATTCTCAAAGAATCAAAGTTTTAAGATGCTATAAGTTGGGAAATGATAATTATTTTTTTTTTAAAAAAAAAAAGGTGCTAATTTGTAGTATATTGGTTTAGCTTCAAAATAGCGACCTTCTTTTTTATATTACATCTATATCGTGTTCCATTAATTTTTTAAGTGTCGCGCACTGTAGTAGTTTCGAACCAAGGTAAAGAAATTCAAGCAAAGCATCCAATAATATAAGTCAGTTTTCAAGTATCCATCTTAATATTGATTTAGTTTTTTTATCTAAAGCTTTTATAATTGCAAGTTCTTAAAAATGGGATTTACTTATTTATGTTAGTAATTATAGTACATATCCTGTCTAATATATATAACGTGAACAAAGATATTATATAACGTGAACAAAGATATTTTCATCACTGATGGTTGACAATAAATTTAATTGTATGACAATGTGAACAAATTTTACTAAAAAATTATATTACATTCTGAAAATGACAATTAATAACTTATACGGTATACTGTTTTTTTTTTTTTTTAAAAAAAAAAAAAAAAAATCATTTTTAAATAAAGTATAAATATAATTTTGCAAAAAATTCCGATGGTGAATAGTGAAATAAACAAAATGCTAATTCTTAGTAATACATCTAATTTATCCAATTGTCCGTTTAAATACCTATAAAGATACTCTATCCTATAAATAAATTTATTTTCACTATGGACGATAACTAAATAATATTGAATAATATCAATCAAATTTATGAAAATGCTTAATATATACATACATAGTATACAATGATGATAATGAACGTTTTAAATATTCTCTTACTGGAACACCTGAATTTAATGAAAGAACGTAGAATGTGTCAAATATATATATAATAGTTCGTAACCTATGCGTGAGTTTGTGATTTTAACAATCAACCTTTAAAATGTTTTTGTCCCGTGAAGAAAGTGACGTATATTTTAATTTTTCCAAGTTGAAATTAATTTCCATCCATAGACGTCTCTCGTTTTGGTATAAAAAAAGAATCTTCCTATGTAACTATAGAATTTTTAAGGTTAGTTAAGATATTTTGTTCAGCCATTTCGTTGTTGATCCCTAGATGAACTTTCAAAACTAGTCCTTCGAGAATCACTCTGTTCTCCGGATAATAAATAGGTTTCTGAATTTTCTGACATAAATGAATGACGACGTTCGTAATATCGATCTACTGAAGAATAAGATGGAGGGGAAACTGTGATGTCTGCCAAGGAAATATCCAAGGCTGCTTCTGGGGGTGCTCCGTTCATAATATTATTATTTACATGAGAATATTGTAAACGATGAATGTCTTCTGATGGACGCCCTCTAGAACTAGATTCTAATAAAATGGATCCTCTTTCGGAACCATATGCTGGTGGGGGTGCAAGTGTTCCCATAGTTGGTGCAAGTCCCCACTTTTTTACATTTGCTTCGATAAAAACGAAGCCTATTTGTCCAAAATTAACATGAACACTACAGGGTCCATTTGCCCCGATTGTTGGAAAAAGGTTCCTTTTCATTCCAGTAAATGCGTCATCCAATTTCTTTCCATTACGGGTGAAAAAAACTGTACCAGTCCTTGGGCGATATCCAACTCCAATAACATCACCTTGTTGAAATTGTGGACCATATGACTTTCCGTTGAAAGGTGAATTATAGTACTTAAATCCGTTATCTGAAAAATAAGAAACAGACTGATGATTCCACCCTATTTTTATTAAATTATTTTTTTTTATTCAATATATGTAGAAAAGGTAGATAAATTTATTTTAATATATATAATTATTATTTATTCCGAGAAAAAACGTTTCTACTCTTTCCACTAGATATAAATCACAATACCTGGTAATCTAAATAATGGGTAAGGTTTGGTCGCTAATCCTACAGCAACAGTTGTTGTTGGTAGCTTTTCATACATTTTTGCTTCCCAATAATAGATTTCTTGCTGTTTTGGTAAAGGAAGATTCGTTTGAACACTGCATTCACCATCATAAAATGCGATTTCAGTACGACATTCTACGAAACAATTAGTATGTTGAAGATCTGGTTCAAATTCCCATGCAGATACACCTTTTTCCTGAATAGACAAAAATTGGGATAATGTAATATCTGTAGGAATACTGTCGGGCGGAAAAGCATCTTGATACACTATTTTATTTTTCGTATAAAAATAAATAGCATAAATATTCGATCAATAATAATAAATTTTATAATTTAATAATAAAAAAAAAAAGATTGTTACTTCGTGCACGTTCATAGTTTTGCCGGGCTGCTTCATCTAAAGATTCCAGCAAACTAGCTTCAACCCTAGCAATATCAGGATCATTGACATCGGGGATCCTATTCTTATCTATAGCAGCTAACCGTTTTCGAATGATTGCCCAAAGAATAAAAATACCGATTATGCAAACAGCACCTAAAATTCCAAGTGATACTACAGTTCTAGAATCTGGACTATCGTCCTGCTGTGATAGAAACCCATTAATATCAGCTGAAACTAGTGGTAATAAGTAATATAAAAATGGTACAACTAAGTATTGTCTCGACAAGTTGTTCAGTTGTACGAAATTGCCAATGCATCTGTAAAATGAAGACATTTTTTACGTCTTATTATTATGGAGGGGCACTTGGTGGCGATTAAATTTGTTTTAAAGATAAATCAAAAAGTGATTATTATAAGATAAAAATACATATATTTCGTTGTAAAGAGGAACTAAAAGCTACAAACTCCTGATTTTCAGGAATGTTACACTAAATATGTTAATTCTCGTACCGCTTTGCGCAAATCACGTAAAATCACATGCATATGCGCGAACTCATGACCAATTATTACGTTTGATTTTTTTTAATCGGCATGACTATGGATTAACTAATAAGCAAAGTAAGCAAAGGTATTGTTTTTGATATATTTATGGTTATTTTTTTGATATATCAAATTTCATGTGACAAAATAGTTATTTTTTTGATGCATCTATAAAATAAAACAATTATAAAAATATCAAAAAAAAATGACTATTTTTGTCACACATATTTGATATATCAAAAAAATAACCATAGGTGTCTCAAAAATGATACTTTAGTAACTAATAAGCATATTATACATGAGACATGAAGCTTTCAAAGGTGAAAATGTAATTATATTATACGTGTTGCCCAAATCCCAAATCATTTGGGATTTGGGACACCAAAATCCCAAATTACTAGTATTTGGGATTTGGGATTTGGGATTTCGGCAAAAAATACTAATCATAATTTGGGATTTGGGATTTGGGATTTCGGCATTTGGGATTTCGGCATTTGGATTTTGAATTTGGGTGGCAGGTATAAATTATATATTAAAGTAAAGTTAACAAATGCCAATATATAATATCATATATATAGAAAACAAAATCTTAGAGATGAATTTAACCATCAGATAGGAGATGAGTTGTAATAGACATATTAAGTATTGCTAAATATGACTATTATAATCTTCAGATAATAAAATCCTTTTATAATACAATCAGATATACAATGGAAGGACCATTAAAACCAAGTTTAATCATATGACTAGGTAATCATCATCTGCTCATAAACCAAACTATTATATGACATTTTGACCAATCATATTGCATAAAAATACTTCTTATGAAAAATAAAAAAAAACATAAAAAAAAAATATGTTACTATAAACATTAAATATTACTTGTTGAAAGAATAAACAAGTACAAAAAAAGTACTTTGGTTTAGTTTGGTAGTTATCAGAGATTTTAAAAGTATGGAATGTATAAATATTAATAAAAAAGATTAATTTATTCTATAGAAATAAAGATAAAGAAAGTAAAGAAATCCAGGTTTATAATAATTAAAGACAAAAATGAACAAGTATAAAAAAAGAAAAAAAATAGGATAATAATTGAAAAAAGCATTAAAAAATTTTTGAAGACAAATATATCTGAATATATTTGCTCACTTATTTATTCATCTACACAAATCACATTAATTCACATTAATCTATATTTATTTATATTAATTTGTATATTACACCAAATATATTTATATATATTTAATTTTTATTAGTTACGAATATATCTGCATATATTTATAGGTGAAATTTTTCTAATGAGAATAAAAGATAAGATGATAATTGAAGAAAGATAGTGGCAGACTACAAAATAAAAGAATGTTTAAATTAGAATATGATAATTTTTCTATGGATTTAGATAGAAAATTTATATATAAATAAATAATTTTAACCAAAGCACATGATAAAATAAATGAAAAAGCAAAGATCAATAATTTATTTTAAAGTTTAAAATTTAAGACTACAATTTACAAGTTTAATATTAAAATAAAAAATAAAACAAAAAAAATAAAAAAGAAAAATATATTTATTATATAAAAAATAAAGTTTTTTATTAAAGAAAAATAAAAAAAATACAAAAAATAAAGAAAATAAAGAAAATAAAGAAATCTATCTTAATTTATTATTGATTTTATTTAAGACTATCTAATTATTTTTATTTATTAAATAATTAAATTTTGATTAATTACATAAGAAAAAAAATTAATACTCTTTATATATATTTTTAAAGACTATTACTAATCAAAAATTTGACATATCAGGTATTTGTCAAATACTTATTATGGTACTTAATATATCTTTTTCCTACACCTATTGAATATTCAATAAGTATAGTAGTTGTCCTTAATATCAGACATTTATTGTATATTAGATACTTTGTTTTAATTATTTTTTTATAATAATTAATAAGAATAGAAAGTACAATACAAATTGAATTAGAAATTTTAATCTGATTTAATTTAATTAATTGAGCCTAAAGATTAGTTCTGATATAATTGAATGTACACAGGTCAAAATTCAAATATCAGATATCTATTAGGTATCTATTGACCTTTCGATATTTTTAAATATTAAATAATTATTGAAAAATTATCAGATACTAATACTACCTGTTGGAAGAGTGATGAGGCAAGTACAACAAGTACTGAATTTAGTCTGATAGTTATCAGTAAGTTTTGGAAATATAAAAAGACAAATAATAATAAAGTAACTAATTTTCTATTGTTGCGTGCCCAATGTGACAATATTCTGAAGAATAGAGAATTTTCTTTAACAAAAACTAACAAAAGGTTATGAAATTATCATACTATTTTCAATAATCCTACTCAATTAATTATAGCAAATTACAGAGTTAAGGAAGAGGGTTAACTTACATCAGGAAATTTTTCAGATCGTAAATTTCTGTAACACAAACGGGACCCATGAAAATTTACATCCAAAAATTCAATTTTTTTGACTTTGGTCACAATTTATGAGACAGGAAGCGATTTTCTACTAAGGTGTTTCTATGACAAATCGAAAGCCCTGGTTTTTGGCTACAAGATGATATGTAAATTATTCCTGTAGCATCGATATCCGCGGAAATATTCACGTTTAAATTTTGAACGTCCATGAAAAATTTGGCATAAATTTTCCGTAAATTTTCGTAATTCTGCTGGAAATTTTCATTATGTCATGATAAATTTCCAGCAGAATTACAAAAATTTACAGAAAATTTATGCCAAATTTTTCATGGATATTCAAAATTTAAACGTGAATATCTCCGCGGATATCGATGCTACAGGAATAATTTACATATCATCTTGTAGCCAAGA